TGCTGATTAAAACGGTAACGAATTTCAATTTTCTAGCGAGTCAACACCCTCATTTTCACTTTGTTTAACTTTCGAGGACCTACTGGTTGCGCATCCAGTCAGTATGAGTTGGCACGCGGGCAAAATGGCGTGTCAAAGCTCTGTGCACCGTCAGAAAATCGCTCTCGCGCGATTCTGATTCAGGACCCTGTAAAATTTCGATTCGATTCAACTTACGAGACTGAAATGTACAATTTGGTGCGTTTAAGTTGTATTTCTGTATTTATCGTTATATAAGCGCCGTCGCTTATGGCCGATATTCAATTACAAGCGCCCCCCTTAAAAAACTGATTATTGTGAAAGCTTGCTTTCTGCAACTTGTAAAGGCATCGTGCTTCATTTCATATGGGTTCCCGACGCTGCCTTTGCTGCGTTGGCAATCGCTACACTTTCACAATACACAATTTTGAAAAGTGTTACACACTTTTAAAATTTTACATTTTTTATAAGCCCATATGCGCTACTATCCGGGGTAATACGGTACTTCTCGGTCCCACTTGTTGTAACAAGAAACGAGAGATTCTACTTTGATTGGTCAAACAGGCCTTGGTAAAAAAAACTGACGCGTCAGACTCGAAAAAAAAAACGAAAAAGCTGATGGATCAGGTGGCACCTTTGAATCCTAGCGAGGACCCTGGTTGTCAGTACTCACGTGCTGGCGTTGTAGTGCATCATTACGAAATTGGGTGTATCGGGACGAAATTTCCAGGAAACTTCGTCTCGATAAGTCGAGTTTCATGAAGGGGTGGCGTGGGGGGGAGGGGGGGAGCTCTCTATACGGTCTTCACTTCAGGGTAATCTTCGCTAAGGGAAATATTACCCCAGAGCATCAGTGACATATCAGTGACATATCAGTGACACTGACATATCAGTGTAACACTAATCCGCCAAAAAAATACCCTAACACATCAGTGCAGGCCCTAAATTTCACCCTTATAATCAGTACAGCACTGTGAATTACACTGATAAAATAGGCCCTGCCCTGATCTGCAATACACTTATGTAGCAATGCGTTCCGCTTACCGTAGCTCCTCACCAATGTGTTCCGCCTAGCTTAGCTCCTCCTCAACAATGCGTTCCGCTTGTAGCTCCTCCTCAGGAATGCGTTCCACTTAGCTTAGCTCCTCCTCACCAATGCGTTCCTCCTAGCTTAGCTCCTCCTCAGCAATGCGTTCCGCCTTCTCTAAAAGATTCCCCTGAGTTCTTGCCACGTTGGCTGGATGGGTAGATGTCTCGTGCCAAGCCAGCTCTCTGTTGCCTCCCGCTGGTCAGTTCGATTCCCTACGGTAGAAACTTCTCAAATGCATCTTTCAAAAAATGGTTGCCTCCTCAGCGCTCCAACCGCGCAAATCCATTCGTTCCGTGCTATGCTATCCGACGGAACGCTTGCAGAGTCTCAAAGCGAGCGAACCAGCCCAAAGATTAAAAGCAGCTGAAGCGAGCCAAGCCAACCGCTAACCCTTCACTTTCGTAATCTTCCCGCAGAGTGCCTGCTGCTTGTTGTTCTCGTGCCCAATCCTGAAGTACGAGCCTAGCACCCGCAGTCCAGTTTCAAATATGGTACGTAAGTCAGCCAGAGACCCCGGCCCTTGATCAAGTGAATACGTGAAGCTGTAGCGCTTAAGGCGGCCAGCCTTGTCACTTGTGATGTTCACCCACGTTGCAGTGCCAACTTCCGCTGCATCGGTGCAGGAAAACGCGTAGGTTGGGATGGGTGCCTTTCCTCCAGATTTGATGTTCAAGATGTAGACCGAATACCTAACACAATATGTGGTTGCAGAGAACCTGCAAAGAGGGCACGGAAGGAGATGGCCTAGAGGGAGAGCGGAGGGGGTGGAGGGGGTGGAGGGATTGGAGCGGGTGGATGGAGGGAGGAGACGGGAGGTGGAGTTGGGGAGGGGGAAAAGTGGGGAAAGTGGGAGGGGATTGGGGCTAGTATTGAGCAGGGCTCAAACCCAATCCTGAGTGATTGCATGGAACAAGCAGTTAGAAATCGCAGGGAGACGCACCTCACCACCTGTGCGACATATTTCCCCGATGCACCTTTGTTGCCGACCACCTTCCCGTTGACCTTAGTAGGGCGCTACGGGAGTGGAGTGTTTGCCCCGCCCTCGCTTGGGCAACGCCGACGACTTGGTCGGATGTACGGGAGTAGCAGCCGACCGTTCATAGTGGGAGAGCTGCTCGACAGGCTTCGTCGAGCTGCAGGGGACCGCTGTGGTGTTGATGTCAACCAGGGGGCTCGATAGGTACAACTGACTAGTCTGGGCGACGGGTGGGCCGTCGACCAGGACCTGCAGTTCGAACGGGAGGTCAACGGAGCAGTCCGTTGACCTGACAAGTGAGCAGCAGACGACGAGGGGAGCTCGACGACAACCGCTGACAGTCCTGATCGACGGAAGGGGTCCGTCGACCAGGGGGTAGCTCGACGGGAGCTGTGGTCGACCAGGGGCACCTGATGGTCGACCAGAGGGACCCGGTGGTCGACCAGAGGCACTTGGTGGTCGACCAGAGCGACCGGGTAGCCTGCTCGGCGAGTTTTGCGGAGACACGCGAACGTCGTCGAGGTCGCGATGGCGAAGGCGACTTCGGGTTGGTATCCCGAAGTCGATGTGGCTCGTCAGGCGCAGACAACAGCCGACGGATGCATAACGGTGCAAGTCGGGCCAATCGTCTGCGCGCACCTGCGAGCGTGCGCACTGCTGTCTTCTACAGGGCAACGCTGGACAACCTCTTTGCTGCAGCGTTGGCACACCGTCGACTTGCTGTGTTGGCAGGTTGCCTTTTTGCAGTGCTGGCGCGGCTCCTCTACGCAACGCTGGCAGGCGGTCGACCATGCTGTGCTGTCGGTCGACCAGGCTAGCTACAGAGTTGCTAGGTGCCTGATGTAGTCATTGTTGTCATTGCTTGTTCAACTATTCTATAATGTAAACTTTGCTAGTGGAAACTCTTGCCGATTTCTCCCGTGATTGTGCAAGCACTAAGGAACTAGGCAAAGCTACGATCACTCCTAGTAGTTCGTGCCAACCCCTGTAGTCTAGCTCACTACCGTTGTAGAGTGAATCCCCGCATAGTGCGGTGAGCGTGGACAGCCCCGCAGATTACCTTCAGATAGGAGCCGACTTTTGCACCTGCTAAGTCGTTCGTAGGCCGGCAAGAGCGTTAGTCGCCATGGTCAACCCCGTAGCTAATGCGAGCATAGCGGACACCTTGGAGGCACGTTTGGCTGATGCGAGGAAACGCCATGAGGATGGCGAGTACGGGTCGATCCCCTGGGCGATCGCTGAGCTGGGCATCCAGGCGCAGTGGGTGACGGTTTACCCTTCTTGTCTTGTTTCTCCTCGACCGGTGCGAAACGAAGGTGGCGTCGACGGCGAGGTCGACGGCGGTGCACGAGTCAGCGGCAACAATGGCATGAAGCAGAGAGGAGTGATCAAGGTCGACGGTGGCGTCGACAGGAGTCAGGCGCGAGTGCAGCAGTTGACGGTGGCTGCAGGCAGCTCGCGTGCCGACGTCGATGGTCGACGTCGCTCTCCCCCACGAAGCGGTGGAGGGCTCTCGACGACGACGCACGTGACGGCGGGCGGAATTGCACCGGCGTATTGCTACTTCAAGTTCTCGCCGGACCGGATCACCGTCGCACCGCTGCAAGGTCGATGGGACCTCATCACCTAGAGGGGGTCAATAGAACCTCAGCTGGAGGTCGCCGGGCTGAAGGTCTTCGCCGACGGAACTGTGCCAACTCCGCCCGTGGACGATGTCGAGCTGTGCGGGGAGTTTCGTGCTACTCACTTGCTCACCTTCATGGTCATCTCGAGGTGCTGCTTGCCGGTGGTGCAGCTAGCGTTCAGGAGCTGTCGAGAGCGATTGGATGCTGGTCAGCAAGCATGGCACTTCATCCTGTCGACGTACCAGGTAAAGGACGACCTGTACATCGGACAGCTGGAGGAAAAGATGACTCACATTCGAATGGGCGAGAAGGAGTCGGCGACGGACTATTGCAACCGTGCTCGACGGATCCTGGCTGAGATGCGGATGGCCGACGTCGGCAACGGCGACGATGATGTGCAGCAGCAGGTGCTGTACCCTTCTGCACGGCTGGTGCGGTGATGGTGTGCTGTGTGTGGGGTGCACGTCGGGGACGATTTTTCTCCGTGGAGTACTGCCGTGTAGGCTGGAGGCCCAAGCGTGAGCGCGGCAAGGGAGTGTTAACGGGAGTGGAGTATTGGCCCCGCCCTCGCTTGGGCAACGCCGACGACTTGGTCGGATGTACGGGAGTAGCAGCCGACCGTTCACTGTGGGAGAGCTACTCGTCAGGCTTCGTCGAGCTGCAGGAGACCGATGTGGTGTTGCTGTCGACGAGGGAGCTCGATAGCTGCAACTGTCTGGTCTGGGCGACGGGTGGGCCGTCGACCAGGTCCTGCAGTTCGACTGGGAGGTCAACGGAGCAGTCCGTTGACCTGAAAAGTGAGCAACGGTCGACGAGGGGAGCTCGACGACAACAGCTGACAGTCCTGGTCGACGGAAGGGGTCCATCGACCAGGGGGTAGCTCGACGGGAGCTGTGGTCGACCAGGGGCACCTAGTGGTCGACCAGAGGGACTCGGTGGTCGACCAGAGGCACTTGGTGGTCGACCAGAGCGACCGGGTAACCTGCTCGGCGAGTTCTGCGGAGGCACGCGAATGTCGTCGAGGTAGCGATGACGAAGGTGACTTCGGGTTGGTATCCCGAAGTCGATGTGGCTTGTCAGGCACAGACAACAGCCGACGGATGCACAACGGTGCAAGTCGGGCCGATCGTCTGCGCGCATCTGCGAGCGTGCGCACTGCTGTCTTCTACAGGGCAACGCTGGACAGCCGCTCTGCTGCAGCGTTGGCACACCGTCGACTTGCTGTGTTGGCAGGTCGCCTTTCTGCAGTGCTGGCGTGGCTCCTCTACGCAACGCTGGAAGGCGGTCGACCATGCTGTGCTGTCGGTCGACCAGGCTAGCTGCGAAGTTGCTAGGTGCCTGATGTAGTCATTGTTGTCATTGCTTGTTCAAATATTCTGTAATGTAAACTCTGCTAGTGGAAACTCTTGCCGATTTCTCCCGTGATTGTGCAAGCACTAAGGAACTAGGCAAAGCTACGATCACTCCTAGTAGTTCGTGCCAACCCCCATAGTCTAGCTCACTACCGTTGCAGAGTGAATCTCCGCACTGCTGGTGCTGGAGGTGCTGGAGGTGCTGCTGGAGCTACTGGCACTGGAGGTGCTGGAGGTACTGCTGGTGCTAGAGGTGCTGGCGCTGCCGGAGCTTGTGGTGCTGCTGGTGCTGGAGGTGCTACTGGAGCTGCTGGTGCTGGAGGTGCTACTAGAGCTGCTGGTGCTGGAGGTGCTCGTGCTGCTGGTGCTGGAGGTGCTCGTGCTGCTGGTGCTGGAGGAGCTGGAGCTGCTGGTACTACCCCGCGCCGACCGTTTTTTACTACCCGCAGCCGTAGTCGTCCCTGCCGCCGCCTGACTCGGTCCTTTGCCAGGTTCTTAGTCTCCCGTCTTCCACTGGCCTCACTCCACCTCTCCTGTGTCCACCGGCAGACCAGTCTCAGCCACAGCTACTGCCTGGCTCCCTGCTGCCTGTTCCTGCTCCTCACACTGAGGTGAGTGAGTCCTTGACTGAGCGTCGTGAGCCTGAGACTCGTGCTTCCACACCTGTTCGTGCTCGTCGTGTCGCCCGTCCTCGTCCTCCTGCTGTCCCAGGCACTCACTGTATGGCACTCCGTCCTTCCTCTGTTCCACAGCGTGTTGTCCTGTCTGAGCCTCCCGCGTCCTCTTTTCTGCACATTCCTGACCCTGAGTCTGACCTTGCTCGTGCTGTCAGTCCCACTATCACTCGTCTCCTCGCTACTGTCATCACTGACCCTGACTTTGAGTCTACTGCAGCGTTTGCCCTAGTCACTGAGCTAGTCGAATTTGCAGCTAGGAGTCATCTCAACTACGTCGCGAGTCTTTTTTACTGAATCTGAGTCTGTCTGTCCTCCATGCGTCGAGAGTGAGCCTGCCCGTAGCAGTGACGTCTTGAGGACAGGCAGTTTGAGCTTGAGTGTCTTGCGGCTGCTTTACCTCGTTTCGCATCCATGCTGCTTTGCCTTGAGGGAGACCCGGATGCACTTGACATCCCTACCCCGCGCTCTTACGCTGAGGCGATCGCGGGTGAGTACTCCTCTCAGTGGCAGATAGCCATGGACACAGAGATGGCTTCCTGGAAGTCCACAGGCACCTACGTCGACGAGGTTCCTCCTCCTGTGGCGAACATAGTCGATGGCATGTGGATATTTAGAGTGAAGCAGCCGCCGGGTTCTCTGCCTGCCTTCAAGGCACGTTACGTTGCTCGAGGCTTCAGTCAGCGACAGGGATCGACTTCTTCCATACCTTCTCCCCCACCCCGAAGATGACTACTCTTCGGGTGTTGCTGCACGTTGCAGCACAGCGTGACGACGAGCTGCACTCCCTCGACTTCTCCACAGCTTTCATGCAGGGCAGCCTTCACGAGGAGATCTGGCTGCGCCGCCCATCCGGCTTCACTGGGCCGTTTCCTGCGGGTACCCAGTGGAGCCTCCGGCGGCTAGTCTACGGTCTTCGCCAGGCACCTCGCGAGTGGGACGACACACTGAGGACGACACTTGCGGCTCTTGGGTTTGCTCCTTCCTCTGCTGACCCATCGCTGTTTCTACGCACCGACGCTACCCTGCCGACGTTCTACGTTCTCGTGTATGTCGACGACTTGTTTTTTTCTACTGCTGACACGGAGGCGCTGGCCCTAGTGAAGGCGGAGCTGCAGGAGAGACACACCTGCACTGACCTGGATGAGTTGCGGGGCTATCCTGGCTTGCAGATCACCTGGGACAGAGCACGGCGCACCATCACCCTGACTCAGTCACACATGGTGCACCAGGTCCTTCATTGTTTCAGCTTCCAATTCTCCTCGCCACAACCCACTCCTCTGTCTACCGGCCACTCGCTCTCAGCTCCACCTTCGGACAAGTCCGTAGAGCCGAGTGGTCCGTACCCAGAGCTTGTGGGTTGCCTCATGTACCTGATGACGTGCACACGACCTGACCTCTCGTACCCTCTCAGTCTCCTGGCTCGCTACGTGGTTCCCGGTAGACACCGAAAGGTGCACTTGGATGCTGCGAAGAGGGTACTGCATTACTTGTGCAGTACATCGGGCATGGGGCTCGTGCTTGGAGGACGGGGTTCAGTGGTACTCACAGGACACTCCGACGCTTCTTGGGCTAACGACCAGGCGACTCAGCGCTCGTCACAGGGTTACACCTTCAGTCTTGGCTCTGGTTCTGTCTCGTGGAGGTCCACTCGTTCGTCTTCTGTACTTGGTTCCAGCTGTGAGGCCGAGATCTACGCTGGGGCCATGGCTACACAGGAGCTACGCTGGCTGACCTACTTGCTGACCGACTTGGGGGAGCGGCCTCGTTCTCCTCCACTTCTGTACGTCGACAACAAGGCAATGCTTGCCTTGTGTCGCGAGCAGAGACTGGAGCACCGAACGAAGCACATTGCTCTTCGCTAATTCCTTGCACGTGAGCTGCAGCAGCGTCATCAGCTCCGCCTTTCCCACGTGGCCTCGCGGGCCAACACTGCTGATGTGTTTACCAAGGCCCTTGGGTCTGGTGATCATCAGCGTTTTTGCACTGCTCTTGGGCTTGTGCCGACTCTGCCTCACCTGCTGGTTGCTTGACTTGCTCTTGTTGTACATTGATATATATCTTTATACCTGCTTGTTTACTTTTGCTAGGTTGTGATCAGTATACTGCCTTGCTATTATAACTCTGCATGTGAACTGGCCTTGTGGCCGCTTGCTTGTGCTCAGATTGTGAGGTGTCCTTGAGATCCACCCTGAGCTTTGCTTTGCTTGTTCTCTTGCTTGACTGGTCTTGTGACCGTCTGTTGTGTTTACTCTCTCCCACTTAGCCTATGGGGGTGTGTCAAACTATATGTTTGTGTTCTCTCTAGGCTATAGTGAGTTAGCCTACAAGGGGTACAACACTTTAGGGTTAGTACTTGTACCCAACTTATTCATAGTTCATCCATTCCTGCACAGTTGATTCTGACAGTTCTGCCCATATTTCTGGCAAGGCAAGGCAAGCAAATGCCATCAATAGACATGTCTAGATGAGAAAACTTTTCCTTATGGGGAGGAGAACCTGGGTCATGTGTTGGTATAATTCTATGCTAATGTGTTAGAGTGTAGTTTAGGCTGACTATCATTCCTTCTGGATATAATAAGAAAATCTGGTACATTGTACAGGGAGGCCTGCACCATAATGCGGAACTTTGTTAGCATTATCGAGACGATGTTTTGCAACTGTTGCTTCAATCGTCGCTCACATATCACTATCAGTGTTGAAGCATTCAATAAGTCTGCTGTTTCATAGCCTTCCCTTACCCAGCGCCATCTCCTCCACACTCCACAGGCTGAGCCCCTTCCTCCACATCCCCCTGTCCACCGGTCTCCTCCCTACACAGCCTCATTTCTCCCATAGCACTATGCTACACCTTGCGAGCCAGTGTGCGCTGCCTCGTGACCTTCTCAACCACCACCTTTTTCACAGGCAGCCCCTTCCTCCTCCCCACCCCATTACCCAGCCTCCATCTCCTTCCCTCCTTCATGTAGCTACACCCTGCGAGCCTGAATCCGCTGCTTTGTGGCCTTCTCAACAACTTTCTCCTCCTCACCCCGTCCACCAGTCTACGAGCCCCCAGCCCCCATCCCTGCCCCATCCCTGAGTCGCCATACTCCTCCTGCCTCTTTCCCTGCGCCACAATGGAAGTCCAGTCACACCTTCCTTGCCAGTGTGCGTTGCTTCGTGGCCTTCTCAACAACTTTCTCCTCCACATGTAGTTTTTTCTCATCCTCACCCCGTTTTACCAGCCTTCCCTCTCTTTCCCTGCGCCACAGTGGAAGTCCAATCACACCTTCCTTGCCAGAGTCCGTTGTTTTCTGGCCTTCTCTACGACCTTCTCTTCCACAGGAAGCCCTTTCCTCCTCCTCACTCCATCCACCAGCCTGCGAGCCACATTCACCCCCAGCCCCACCCCCGAATCCCCATACTCCTCCCTCGCCTTCCCTGCGCCACAGTGGAAGTGCCATCACACCTTGCGAGCTAGAGTCCGCTGTTTGGTGGCCTTCTCAACATCCTTCTCCTCCACAGGCAATCCTTTCCTCCTCCTCACCCCGTCCACCAGCCTACGAGCCACGTTCACCCCCAGCCCCACCCCCGAGTCTCCATACTCCTCCCTCTCCTCCTCTGTCCGCGGCACAAAGAAGGGATCATCTGGGACCATCGACCAATGGCTCATCGCCAGCTGTCCAGGGGGGGGAGAGTGACAGCGGTACGAGAAACGGGGCGAAGGGGGAGTAGGGGGGAGAGGAGGGAAGGAGAAAGGGCGAGGGCGAGGTGTGGGGGAAGGGGGAGGTGGGAAATGAGACGAGAATGAAAGGTATGAGACCCCCAGCCCCACGCCCGAATCGCCATACTCCTCCCTCTCCTCCTCTGTCCGCGGCACAAAGATGGGATCATCTGGGACCATCGACCAATGGCTCATCGCCAGCTGTATCGGGGGGTGGAGGGATGGGTGGGGGGGGGGGTGGGAGGGGGGGAGGAGTGGAGAGAGATGAGGGGGGGGAAAGGGAGGGTGTCAGGGCAAATGCAAAAGAGAGGAAGGAAAGGGAGGGCGTGAGGGCAAAGGTGGAAGTGAGGAGGAAGCGAAAGACATAAGTTAACACTTTGATTGTGGGCAGAAATGAGCATGGCTCATGCCTCCTCTCGTTCAACTTCCTGGCCACTCATATCTAATGACTTCTCTTCTGCTCATGACTCACTGCCTCCCAAGCACACAGCAAACACAGCTAAAAAAAAATCTGATCTGAACAGTCGCTGCCCCGCAAGTAGCTGACTGACTTTTGAGTCGACTCGAAAGTCAGACACAGTTGGCCAAAACGTCTGATCTAAACAACAGTCGCTGCCCCGCAAGTAGCTGACTGACTTTTGAGTCGACTCGAAAGTCAGACACAGTTGGCCAAAACGTCTGATCTAAACAACAGTCGCTGCCCCGCAAGTAGCTGACTGACTTTTGGGTCGACTCGAAAGTCAGACACAGTTGGCCAAAACGTCTGATCTAAACAACAGTCGCTGCCCCGCAAGTAGCTGACTGCCTTTTGAGTCGACTCGAAAGTCAGACACAGTTGGCCAAAACGTCTGATCTAAACAACAGTCGCTGCCCCGCAAGTAGCTGACTGACTTTTGAGTCGACTCGAAAGTCAGACACAGTTGGCCAAAACGTCTGATCTAAACAACAGTCGCTGCCCCGCAAGTAGCTGACTGACTTTTGGGTCGACTCGAAAGTCAGACACAGTTGGCCAAAACGTCTGATCTAAACAACAGTCGCTGCCCCGCAAGTAGCTGACTGCCTTTTGAGTCGACTCGAAAGTCAGACACAGTTGGCCAAAACGTCTGATCTAAACAACAGTCGCTGCCCCGCAAGTAGCTGACTGACTTTTGGGTCGACTCGAAAGTCAGACACAGTTGGCCGAAACGTCTGATCTAAACAACAGTCGCTGCCCCGCAAGTAGCTGACTGCCTTTTGAGTCGACTCGAAAGTCAGACACATTTGGCCAAAACGTCTGATCTAAACAACAGTCGCTGCCCCGCAAGTAGCTGACTGACTTTTGGGTCGACTCGAAAGTCAGACACAGTTGGCCGAAACGTCTGATCTAAACAACAGTCGCTGCCCCGCAAGTAGCTGACTGACTTTTGGGTCGACTCAAAAGTCAGACACAGTTGGCCAAATCGTCTGATCTAAACAACACTCGCTGCCCCGCAAGTTGCTGACTGACTTTTGAGTCGACTCGAAAGTCAAACACAGTTGGCCAAATCGTCTGATCTCAACAACAGTCGCTGCCCCGCAAGTAGCTGACTGACTTTTGGGTCGACTCGAAAGTCAAACACAGTTGGCCAAAACGTCTGATCTCAACAACAGTCGCTGCCCCGCAAGTAGCTGACTGACTTTTGGGTCGACTCGAAAGTCAAACACAGTTGGCCAAAACGTCTGATCTAAACAACACTCGCTGCCCCGCAAGTAGCTGACTGACTTTTGGGTCGACTCGAAAGTCAGACACAGTTGGCCAAAACGTCTGATCTAAACAACAGTCGCTGCCCCGCAAGTAGCTGACTGACTTTTGAGTCGACTCGAAAGTCAAACACAGTTGGCCAAAACGTCTGAACTCAACAACAGTCGCTGCCCCGCAAGTAGCTGACTGACTTTTGGGTCGACTCGAAAGTCAGACACAGTTGGCCAAAACGTCTGATCTAAACAACAGTCGCTGCCCCGCAAGTAGCTGACTGACTTTTGGGTCGACTCGAAAGTCAGACACAGTTGGCCGAAACGTCTGATCTAAACAACAGTCGCTGCCCCGCAAGTAGCTGACTGACTTTTGGGTCGACTCGAAAGTCAGACACAGTTGGCCAAAACGTCTGATCTCAACAACAGTCGCTGCCCCGCAAGTAGTTGACTGACTTTTGAGTCGACTCGAAAGTCAAACACAGTTGGCCAAATCGTCTGATCTCAACAACAGTCGCTGCCCCGCAAGTAGCTGACTGACTTTTGGGTCGACTCGAAAGTCAGACACAGTTGGCCAAAACGTCTGATCTAAACAACAGTCGCTGCCCCGCAAGTAGCTGACTGACTTTTGGGTCGACTCGAAAGTCAGACACAGTTGGCCGAAACGTCTGATCTAAACAACAGTCGCTGCCCCGCAAGTAGCTGACTGACTTTTGGGTCGACTCGAAAGTCAAACACAGTTGGCCAAAACGTCTGATCTCAACAACAGTCGCTGCCCCGCAAGTAGCTGACTGACTTTTGGGTCGACTCGAAAGTCAAACACAGTTGGCCAAAACATCTGATCTCAACAACAGTCGCTGCCCCGCAAGTAGCTGACTGACTTTTGGGTCGACTCGAAAGTCAAACACAGTTGGCCAAAACGTCTGATCTAAACAACACTCGCTGCCCCGCAAGTAGCTGACTGACTTTTGGGTCGACTCGAAAGTCAGACACAGTTGGCCAAAACGTCTGATCTAAACAACAGTCGCTGCCCCGCAAGTAGCTGACTGACTTTTGGGTCGACTCAAAAGTCAGACACAGTTGGCCAAAGCGTCTGATCTAAACAACAGTCGCTGCCCCGCAAGTAGCTGACTGACTTTTGGGTCGACTCGAAAGTCAGACACAGTTGGCCGAAACGTCTGATCTAAACAACAGTCGCTGCCCCGCAAGTAGCTGACTGACTTTTGGGTCGACTCGAAAGTCAGACACAGTTGGCCAAAACGTCTGATCTCAACAACAGTCGCTGCCCCGCAAGTAGCTGACTGACTTTTGAGTCGACTCGAAAGTCAAACACAGTTGGCCAAATCGTCTGATCTCAACAACAGTCGCTGCCCCGCAAGTAGCTGACTGACTTTTGGGTCGACTCGAAAGTCAGATACAGTTGGCTAAAACGTCTGATCTAAACAACAGTCGCTGCCCCGCAAGTAGCTGACTGACTTTTGGGTCGACTCGAAAGTCAAACACAGTTGGCCAAAACGTCTGATCTCAACAACAGTCGCTGCCCCGCAAGTAGCTGACTGACTTTTGGGTCGACTCGAAAGTCAAACACAGTTGGCCAAAACGTCTGATCTCAACAACAGTCGCTGCCCCGCAAGTAGCTGACTGACTTTTGGGTCGACTCGAAAGTCAAACACAGTTGGCCAAAACGTCTGATCTCAACAACAGTCGCTGCCCCGCAAGTAGCTGACTGACTTTTGGGTCGACTCGAAAGTCAAACACAGTTGGCCAAAACGTCTGATCTCAACAACAGTCGCTGCCCCGCAAGGTCGTGGCACCTGAAAGAGCTCTTTCAAGTCGTCTCACCACAGAATACCAAGATCGTCAAAGGAGTAAGGGGGACCAGGAAAGGGGAATGGGAGAAACGGCAAGGGCAAAAGGGGAAGGGGGAAACTACTGTGGCTTACCTGCGGGCTGGCAGCACCGGACGTCCTCCCTCTCAACTCCTCTGCAAACCCAAACGACTCTGCCATGGGTAGGTGAGCATGCACAGTGAACATCCCTCACTTGCTCACCTGCCCCAGGTGGGGATTACAGCGGCTTACCTGGGGGCTGGCTGCACCGGACGTCCTGCCTCTGAGTTCCTCTGCAAACCCAAACGACTCTGCCATGGGCAGATGCGCAGGTACGGTGAACATCCCCAAACCCTTGTTCATCTCGGCTTACCTGGGGGCTGGCAGCACCGGACGTTCTCCCTCTCAACTCCTCTGCAAACCCAAACGACTCTGCCATGGGCAGATGCGCAGGTACGGTGAACATCCCCAAACCCTTGTTCATCTCGGCTTACCTGGGGGCTGGCAGCACCGGACGTTCTCCCTCTCAACTCCTCTGCAAACCCAAACGACTCTGCCATGGGCAGATGCGCAGGTACGGTGAACATCCCCAAACCCTTGTTCATCTCGGCTTACCTGGGGGCTGGCAGCACCGGACGTTCTCCCTCTCAACTCCTCTGCAAACCCAAACGACTCTGCCATGGGCAGATGCGCAGGTCAGTGAACATCCCCAAACCCTTGTTCATCTCGGCTTACCTGGGGGCTGGCAGCACCGGACGTTCTCCCTCTCAACTCCTCTGCAAACCCAAACGACTCTGCCATGGGCAGATGCGCAGGTACGGTGAACATCCCCAAACCCTTGTTCATCTCGGCTTACCTGGGGGCTGGCAGCACCGGACGTTCTCCCTCTCAACTCCTCTGCAAACCCAAACGACTCTGCCATGGGTAGGTGCGCGTGTACGGTGAACATCCCTGAGCCTTCATTCATCTCCTCCCTCACCACCGCCGCTCTCCTCCTCCCCAGCACCGCATACACGGCCCCTAGTGCCTCAGTGGTGGTGGTGACTTCGCACAGGAACATGGCTTCCACCAGCCGAGGGGAGTTGGCTGCTACTGCTGCCCTGCATGCGTCTTTTACTGCACTCATCACTTGTCCCGATATAGGCACACTCGATACAGGCACGTTCTGTGCCGGTGCTGTGTCGTAACTAGCCTGCTGCTCGCTGCTGCTGGTGCCACTGCTGCTGCTAATGATACTAGCGAAGGCTCCTCCTGGGCGACCAGCGCCCTTTACAATCACAACCTCTACAGTGAACGCCAGCCCCCACAGGGGCTCCTCGCACAGAGGGCCTGCTGACGTGGCGAGCTGAAAGCCACTCACCACCGACCCAGCCAATCCCTCGGCTTCGTGCCGCAGTGCCACGTCATCATGCTCCTCTTGAGACGTCTCACCAGCCGCTTCGTTCCGCAGCGTCTCTTCATGCTCTAACGCAATCGAGTGACTAACAGAAGCATCACCAACAACAGCACCACTCTCCCTCTCCTCCTGCTTCACTCGCCCCTCTTGCTCCTCCCCATCTGCTTCACTAACCTCTCCACTCAACCCTCCCACCTCTTTCCCCATCCCTTCCGCACCACCCTGCGCTGCACCCGTGCTCGCCAGCCCCAGCTTCCAGGAAGCTTCCGGCAGCCCAGGAACAACCACACCGCCAGCTGGCAGGCTTCCAGAAACGCCTGAAATAGAATGACCAGCACTGTTCCCACTAGAATTATCTGTACTATTCCCACTCGGATTCACAGGAATGGGAGCAAGCAGCAGGTTTTGGCCGACGTGTCTCGGCCCTAGTGACCAGATTCTCTCAAGTTTGCTCCTCCATGCCGCCCGGAAATCCGCCACTGCCGCCCGTTTCGCTTCCGCTCCCATTGGCTGGTTCGCTGCAGAAGAAGACAACGCAGCGGCGGCAGAAGCAGAGGCGGCAGATGAGCCTCCCCCAGATGCGTCCAAGCCCTCATCCGGATCTGCGTCCTCTAGTGCTTCTAGGAGACGTTGCCTTAGGGAGGCGAGACTGGCTGAATGTCTTGACTGCTGCATTGACTGCATTGACTGGGTTGAATTTTCTGAAAGCACTGCCGTTTCTCCTTCTCCTTCCCCTCCTCCTCCTCCTCCTCCTCCTCCTCCTCCTCCTCCTCCTCCTCCTCCTCCTCCTCCTCCTCCTCCTCCTCCTCCTCCTCCTCCTCCTCCTCCTCCTCCTCCTCCTCCCCCTCCCCTTCCTCCGCCACCCACCCCCCGTCCCTCTTCCACAAGCGACTTTTGAGTCGACTCAAAAACCCTGCCTCTGCCACCCACCCCCCCTCCCTCCTCCACTAGAGCATCCCTCAGAGTCTCCCCTTCCCTCTCCAAAACAGCTGCAAGCTTTCCAGGAAGCTTCTCAACGAGCACCCTCACCCGGCACCGCCCGTTTGCCGCCCAGAGCTCCGTCCAGAAAGCACCTCCCCCAGGTAAACCTGCTCCTGCTGCCGCCCCTCCCCCTCCTGCTGATGGGGGATGAGAAGGGTTATTAACAGAGCCAGCACCGCCACCACCAATGCTGTTACTGGCACTGCCACCAGCAGAACCGGTGGCTGTAGTGGTAACCGCAAGAGCGTAACCAAGGCCGAATCCCAATGGAATGGCTGCTCCAGAAGTAGCAGACGCACTCGAGAAGGCCGAATTCGCTGCCAGCGCTGCTAGTGGTGATAACGAAGCTGCTAATAAGGGGGACGCTGAGTTCCCGCTGCTGCTCATCCCATCAACCCCAGCACCACCAGCACCACCACCAGAACCACCAAACACCGACGTGAGGCTCGGAGGCAGTCCCGGGGTGGTGGTAACCGTAAGCACCGTGGTAGGAAACACCGACGCATGTTCAGACCCAGCAGATCCCGTCGCATATCCCGTGTGCACAATTGTTTCCCGGAAGGAGACAATGGGCTTGGATACGACGAGCTTGATGCGTGCAAACCGCTCCTGCAGGTCCTTGATGCATCGCTCCAGATGCACCTCCCCCGCCGCCCCCACCACGTGCTCTCCGGAGCGAACCAGCACCACTTCGACAAAGGGATCGGCACGGTTTAATAGACGGAGGCCCCGGGCGAGGAGGGGGAGGTGGCGAGGGTCCTCTGGCTCGATGGCCACTCGTACAATGGGGGCGGCCTGGGAGAAAGGGGGAGTGGAGTGTGATTCTTGACATGAGTGAGATTTGAGACGTCTCAAAACTGGGAGAAAGGGGGAGTGGAGTGTGATTCTTGACATGAGTGAGTGAAAGTGATGTGCGCTCCTGCAGGTCCTTGATGCATCGCTCCAGATGCGCCTCCCCCGCCGCCCCCACCACATGCTCGCCTGAGCGCGCTAACACGACACGACCTCCACAAAGGGGTCAGCGCGGTTCAAGAGGTTCAGCAGGCGGAGGCCTCGGGCAAGGAGGGGGAGATGGCGGGGGTCCTCTGGCTCAATGGCTACTCGCACTATAGGGGCAGCCTGGGTTGGGGGGGCTGGGAGGAAGTGAGGGAGAGAAGGAGGGATGAGCGGGCTGTGTGGCTGTCGAGGTGAGTTGAATGTAGCTCTTCTCTCTCTCCCTCCTTTCTTCTCCTCCCTCCACAGGCATTCTTACCTAGAAGTTGGAACACCATGGAAGCAAATGGCTGGAAGTAGGGAGTAGAAGACACAGTGGCACTCTCGAAAATGCGTGTGGCAGTTTCCTCGAAAATGCCATACAACTGCTCTCCTCCACCTTTCCTCTATCCTCCCTTCCCCACACGCATTTTTACCTGGAAGACCATGGAAGAAAACGGCTGGCAGTAGGGAGTGGAAGCCACAGTGGCACTCTTAAGAATGCACGCCTCCAGCCCCCTTGATCGCCACACAGCCGCGCTCTCTCCAACACTCATCCACATCCCCAACACTCCCTCACTGCCTCACCTGGAACACCATGGAGGCAAATGGCTGGCAGTAGGGGGTGGACGACACAGTTGCACTCTTCAATATGCACGCCTCTAATCCCTTGATCGCCACGCAGCCCATCTCTACCCCACCATTCCACATGTTGCCCTTTACAATGCCTCACCTGGAACACCATAGACGCGAATGCTTGGCAGTAGGGGGTAGACGACACTGTTGCACTCTTCAATATGCACGCCTCCAATCCCTTGATGGCCACACAGCTGCCAGCTGGCACGCTGCTGATTGGCTGCAGCCCCTGCCCCATCATCATGAACAGTGCGCCCACTTGCGCCTCTTGTCTGTGCCGCGCCCACGTCGCCGGGCGGCACGGGTCGTACAGAGAGGAAAGGACAAAGACGCGCTGCCCCGCCCGCAGCCGCCCGCAGAAGACACGGGCAAACGCGAAAAAGAAGTCGCGATCTCGCACGGACACTCCTAAATCGTCCACTGAAGCTACATCTCCTCCTGACCCCACTCCTCCCCCCCCTGCTCCTCCCCCTCCTCCCCCTCCTCCTCCTCCTGCTCCTCCTCCCCCTCCTGCTGCTGCTGCTGCAGCAGCTGCTTCCTCTTCTGCTCTCTGCTCCTCCCTAGGCAACATTTCATATGGCACAGCAAACATCTTAGACACAAACACCACACACGGGGCCTCTTCGCTCGAATCACACATCTCCACCGCCCTATCAACCGCCGCCACCTGGCGCAACACCGACTCCTCCCCTCCCTCCTCCACTCCCGCTCCCGCTTCCCCAGACCTGTCTAACAAAGCTGGTACGGCGGGCCGGTTCGGCAGGTAGCACCCGAGCCTGTCTTTCTGGGCAGCGACAGGGTCGGGAAGGCAGTCCACCACCATGGAGAGAATGCAGGGCGCGAGAGGCAGCCACCTGGCGATCACTGATTGGGCGACTGTGCGAGGATCCTTGTGCTGGAGATCTTTGGGCGGCACAGACAGACCCAGCGAAGATATGATCTTCTCGAGAATCGGATTGGATTTGTCTGCATTGCTACTGTCACTGCCGCTGTTGCTGCTGTTGTTACTGTTGCTTCCCTGGGCGGCAGCCTCGTAGATCTGCCACACGGGCTCCAGCACAAACTGGACAAACATCGGCCGCAGCCGGGCGGCGGCAGACGAAGATGCGCCGCCCACTGCCGCCTGCGCTGCTTTCTTTTTCAGAATTTTCTTGGTCTTGGGAATATAGTACCTGAGGAGGAGGGACAAGAGGAGGACAACAGCACGATTACTGTCGCTCGAATGCAGAGAGAAGCAAGCCTTCAAAGGTTTTGACGATTATCCTTCAAAGCATATAGAGAGGCTCAACTGCCCCTCAAAACCTTACCAGGTCCCACCAAACAAACATGCAGAAGGAACTCTCTTAAGCCCCCCGAATTCTAGCATGCATGGCTATGCGGAAGGAAAATCATCCACCCCTCAATTGCGTGTACATACACACAGAGATATAACAAGTATATAAGCGACTCACCAGTCCCCCCACAAAGCCTTCATGAGGGCATTTTCAGACGCCCCAAGCTTTCTTGCATACATGGCTGCAAATTCATTCACTCTTAAAGCCCACCCATCCACCGCACTTGCCAATGCCACATTCCCCTTGTCCGGGGAAAAAACATCCTCCTCATCCTCCTCCTCCTCCCCCTCCCCCTCCCCCACCCCCCTCCCTTGCCCTTCTCCTGCTCCTCCCCCGCTTGCTTCCCCGTCGGCGTCAGCTGGATGGCCTGCTGACGTGGCGCCAGCTGACAGGGAGAGGGAGTCCACGTGGGACATGTATTTCTCGGAGCGGAATGCGTGGATGATGTTGTTGACCTCCGTGATTATGCCCTGTCAAGAGGGGGGGGGCGGGAGGGGTTGGGGGGTAGGGGTTAAGGTGGGGGGGAGGGGGGATGTGGGACTCACGTCACAAGATTGAAAACTTTGTGGTTTGCCGTTCGGAGTTTTGGGTTTAAGGTTTAAAGAACATGGGGTGCTGGGAAGATCGGGGGTTGGCAGACGCCAGCGTGAAGGGATGAATGAGAAAAGAGACAACACACGTCGCCATAAGGGTTTTACGAAATCTTGTCAATTCAGGTATAACTACAAACTCACACCTGTGCCTCTAACCCACCTTGAGCCGTTCGTAGGCCTCCGCAGGAGTGAGCATCAGCTCCGTTATCAGCTCCATTTTCGTTATAGTCACTTCCATAATCCGTCCACGCACTTGTTATGCAGCTGGAAGGATCTCCCTGAAGCAGCACTGTGCTGCTGAGAAATTTGCCTGGAATGCTGACTACAGTACAGAGAACTTTCACTATAATCATTGCCATGCCTCATCCACACATTTCTTGTGCAGCTGGAAGGCCAGAGTGACCCACTCCCCACAGCTGCACTGGGCGCCTGACCAGTTGAAATAGCCGAGTCGCGTGGAGCACTGCGCGCATGAGAGCTTTCCCTCTACCACTTTGCACTGCATGGGTCATGCTTTTGAGTCGACTCACTGCATGGGTCATGCTTTTGAGTCGACTCACTGCATGGGTCATGCTTTTGAGTCGACTCACTGCATGGGTCATGCTTTTGAGTCGACTCACTGCATGGGTCATGCTTTTGAGTCGACTCACTGCATGGGTCATGCTTTTGAGTCGACTCACTGCATGGGTCATGCTTTTGAGTCGACTCACTGCATGGGTCATGCTTTTGAGTCGACTCACTGCATGGGTCATGCTTTTGAGTCGACTCACTGCATGGGTCATGCTTTTGAGTCGACTCACTGCATGGGTCATGCTTTTGAGTCGACTCACTGCATGGGTCATGCTTTTGAGTCGACTCACTGCATGGGTCATGCTTTTGAGTCGACTCACTGCATGGGTCATGCTTTTGAGTCGACTCACTGCATGGGTCATGCTTTTGAGTCGACTCACTGCATGGGTCATGCTTTTGAGTCGACTCACTGCATGGGTCATGCTTTTGAGTCGACTCACTGCATGGGTCATGCTTTTGAGTCGACTCACTGCATGGGTCATGCTTTTGAGTCGACTCACTGCATGGGTCATGCTTTTGAGTCGACTCACTGCATGGGTCATGCTTTTGAGTCGACTCACTGCATGGGTCATGCTTTTGAGTCGACTCACTGCATGGGTCATGCTTTTGAGTCGACTCACTGCATGGGTCATGCTTTTGAGTCGACTCACTGCATGGGTCATGCTTTTGAGTCGACTCACTGCATGGGTCATGCTTTTGAGTCGACTCACTGCATGGGTCATGCTTTTGAGTCGACTCACTGCATGGGTCATGCTTTTGAGTCGACTCACTGCATGGGTCATGCTTTTGAGTCGACTCACTGCATGGGTCATGCTTTTGAGTCGACTCACTGCATGGGTCATGCTTTTGAGTCGACTCACTGCATGGGTCATGCTTTTGAGTCGACTCACTGCATGGGTCATGCTTTTGAGTCGACTCACTGCATGGGTCATGCTTTTGAGTCGACTCACTGCATGGGTCATGCTTTTGAGTCGACTCACTGCATGGGTCATGCTTTTGAGTCGACTCACTGCATGGGTCATGCTTTTGAGTCGACTCACTGCATGGGTCATGCTTTTGAGTCGACTCACTGCATGGGTCATGCTTTTGAGTCGACTCACTGCATGGGTCATGCTTTTGAGTCGACTCACTGCATGGGTCATGCTTTTGAGTCGACTCACTGCATGGGTCATGCTTTTGAGTCGACTCACTGCATGGGTCATGCTTTTGAGTCGACTCACTGCATGGGTCATGCTTTTGAGTCGACTCACTGCATGGGTCATGCTTTTGAGTCGACTCACTGCATGGGTCATGCTTTTGAGTCGACTCACTGCATGGGTCATGCTTTTGAGTCGACTCACTGCATGGGTCATGCTTTTGAGTCGACTCACTGCATGGGTCATGCTTTTGAGTCGACTCACTGCATGGGTCATGCTTTTGAGTCGACTCACTGCATGGGTCATGCTTTTGAGTCGACTCACTGCATGGGTCATGCTTTTGAGTCGACTCACTGCATGGGTCATGCTTTTGAGTCGACTCACTGCATGGGTCATGCTTTTGAGTCGACTCACTGCATGGGTCATGCTTTTGAGTCGACTCACTGCATGGGTCATGCTTTTGAGTCGACTCACTGCATGGGTCATGCTTTTGAGTCGACTCACTGCATGGGTCATGCTTTTGAGTCGACTCACTGCATGGGTCATGCTTTTGAGTCGACTCACTGCATGGGTCATGCTTTTGAGTCGACTCACTGCATGGGTCATGCTTTTGAGTCGACTCACTGCATGGGTCATGCTTTTGAGTCGACTCACTGCATGGGTCATGCTTTTGAGTCGACTCACTGCATGGGTCATGCTTTTGAGTCGACTCACTGCATGGGTCATGCTTTTGAGTCGACTCACTGCATGGGTCATGCTTTTGAGTCGACTCACTGCATGGGTCATGCTTTTGAGTCGACTCACTGCATGGGTCATGCTTTTGAGTCGACTCACTGCATGGGTCATGCTTTTGAGTCGACTCACTGCATGGGTCATGCTTTTGAGTCGACTCACTGCATGGGTCATGCTTTTGAGTCGACTCACTGCATGGGTCATGCTTTTGAGTCGACTCACTGCATGGGTCATGCTTTTGAGTCGACTCACTGCATGGGTCATGCTTTTGAGTCGACTCACTGCATGGGTCATGCTTTTGAGTCGACTCACTGCATGGGTCATGCTTTTGAGTCGACTCACTGCATGGGTCATGCTTTTGAGTCGACTCACTGCATGGGTCATGCTTTTGAGTCGACTCACTGCATGGGTCATGCTTTTGAGTCGACTCACTGCATGGGTCATGCTTTTGAGTCGACTCACTGCATGGGTCATGCTTTTGAGTCGACTCACTGCATGGGTCATGCTTTTGAGTCGACTCACTGCATGGGTCATGCTTTTGAGTCGACTCACTGCATGGGTCATGCTTTTGAGTCGACTCACTGCATGGGTCATGCTTTTGAGTCGACTCACTGCATGGGTCATGCTTTTGAGTCGACTCACTGCATGGGTCATGCTTTTGAGTCGACTCACTGCATGGGTCATGCTTTTGAGTCGACTCACTGCATGGGTCATGCTTTTGAGTCGACTCACTGCATGGGTCATGCTTTTGAGTCGACTCACTGCATGGGTCATGCTTTTGAGTCGACTCACTGCATGGGTCATGCTTTTGAGTCGACTCACTGCATGGGTCATGCTTTTGAGTCGACTCACTGCATGGGTCATGCTTTTGAGTCGACTCACTGCATGGGTCATGCTTTTGAGTCGACTCACTGCATGGGTCATGCTTTTGAGTCGACTCACTGCATGGGTCATGCTTTTGAGTCGACTCACTGCATGGGTCATGCTTTTGAGTCGACTCACTGCATGGGTCATGCTTTTGAGTCGACTCACTGCATGGGTCATGCTTTTGAGTCGACTCACTGCATGGGTCATGCTTTTGAGTCGACTCACTGCATGGGTCATGCTTTTGAGTCGACTCACTGCATGGGTCATGCTTTTGAGTCGACTCACTGCATGGGTCATGCTTTTGAGTCGACTCACTGCATGGGTCATGCTTTTGAGTCGACTCACTGCATGGGTCATGCTTTTGAGTCGACTCACTGCATGGGTCATGCTTTTGAGTCGACTCACTGCATGGGTCATGCTTTTGAGTCGACTCACTGCATGGGTCATGCTTTTGAGTCGACTCACTGCATGGGTCATGCTTTTGAGTCGACTCACTGCATGGGTCATGCTTTTGAGTCGACTCACTGCATGGGTCATGCTTTTGAGTCGACTCACTGCATGGGTCATGCTTTTGAGTCGACTCACTGCATGGGTCATGCTTTTGAGTCGACTCACTGCATGGGTCATGCTTTTGAGTCGACTCACTGCATGGGTCATGCTTTTGAGTCGACTCACTGCATGGGTCATGCTTTTGAGTCGACTCACTGCATGGGTCATGCTTTTGAGTCGACTCACTGCATGGGTCATGCTTTTGAGTCGACTCACTGCATGGGTCATGCTTTTGAGTCGACTCACTGCATGGGTCATGCTTTTGAGTCGACTCACTGCATGGGTCATGCTTTTGAGTCGACTCACTGCATGGGTCATGCTTTTGAGTCGACTCACTGCATGGGTCATGCTTTTGAGTCGACTCACTGCATGGGTCATGCTTTTGAGTCGACTCACTGCATGGGTCATGCTTTTGAGTCGACTCACTGCATGGGTCATGCTTTTGAGTCGACTCACTGCATGGGTCATGCTTTTGAGTCGACTCACTGCATGGGTCATGCTTTTGAGTCGACTCACTGCATGGGTCATGCTTTTGAGTCGACTCACTGCATGGGTCATGCTTTTGAGTCGACTCACTGCATGGGTCATGCTTTTGAGTCGACTCACTGCATGGGTCATGCTTTTGAGTCGACTCACTGCATGGGTCATGCTTTTGAGTCGACTCACTGCATGGGTCATGCTTTTGAGTCGACTCACTGCATGGGTCATGCTTTTGAGTCGACTCACTGCATGGGTCATGCTTTTGAGTCGACTCACTGCATGGGTCATGCTTTTGAGTCGACTCACTGCATGGGTCATGCTTTTGAGTCGACTCACTGCATGGGTCATGCTTTTGAGTCGACTCACTGCATGGGTCATGCTTTTGAGTCGACTCACTGCATGGGTCATGCTTTTGAGTCGACTCACTGCATGGGTCATGCTTTTGAGTCGACTCACTGCATGGGTCATGCTTTTGAGTCGACTCACTGCATGGGTCATGCTTTTGAGTCGACTCACTGCATGGGTCATGCTTTTGAGTCGACTCACTGCATGGGTCATGCTTTTGAGTCGACTCACTGCATGGGTCATGCTTTTGAGTCGACTCACTGCATGGGTCATGCTTTTGAGTCGACTCACTGCATGGGTCATGCTTTTGAGTCGACTCACTGCATGGGTCATGCTTTTGAGTCGACTCACTGCATGGGTCATGCTTTTGAGTCGACTCACTGCATGGGTCATGCTTTTGAGTCGACTCACTGCATGGGTCATGCTTTTGAGTCGACTCACTGCATGGGTCATGCTTTTGAGTCGACTCACTGCATGGGTCATGCTTTTGAGTCGACTCACTGCATGGGTCATGCTTTTGAGTCGACTCACTGCATGGGTCATGCTTTTGAGTCGACTCACTGCATGGGTCATGCTTTTGAGTCGACTCACTGCATGGGTCATGCTTTTGAGTCGACTCACTGCATGGGTCATGCTTTTGAGTCGACTCACTGCATGGGTCATGCTTTTGAGTCGACTCACTGCATGGGTCATGCTTTTGAGTCGACTCACTGCATGGGTCATGCTTTTGAGTCGACTCACTGCATGGGTCATGCTTTTGAGTCGACTCACTGCATGGGTCATGCTTTTGAGTCGACTCACTGCATGGGTCATGCTTTTGAGTCGACTCACTGCATGGGTCATGCTTTTGAGTCGACTCACTGCATGGGTCATGCTTTTGAGTCGACTCACTGCATGGGTCATGCTTTTGAGTCGACTCACTGCATGGGTCATGCTTTTGAGTCGACTCACTGCATGGGTCATGCTTTTGAGTCGACTCACTGCATGGGTCATGCTTTTGAGTCGACTCACTGCATGGGTCATGCTTTTGAGTCGACTCACTGCATGGGTCATGCTTTTGAGTCGACTCACTGCATGGGTCATGCTTTTGAGTCGACTCACTGCATGGGTCATGCTTTTGAGTCGACTCACTGCATGGGTCATGCTTTTGAGTCGACTCACTGCATGGGTCATGCTTTTGAGTCGACTCACTGCATGGGTCATGCTTTTGAGTCGACTCACTGCATGGGTCATGCTTTTGAGTCGACTCACTGCATGGGTCATGCTTTTGAGTCGACTCACTGCATGGGTCATGCTTTTGAGTCGACTCACTGCATGGGTCATGCTTTTGAGTCGACTCACTGCATGGGTCATGCTTTTGAGTCGACTCACTGCATGGGTCATGCTTTTGAGTCGACTCACTGCATGGGTCATGCTTTTGAGTCGACTCACTGCATGGGTCATGCTTTTGAGTCGACTCACTGCATGGGTCATGCTTTTGAGTCGACTCACTGCATGGGTCATGCTTTTGAGTCGACTCACTGCATGGGTCATGCTTTTGAGTCGACTCACTGCATGGGTCATGCTTTTGAGTCGACTCACTGCATGGGTCATGCTTTTGAGTCGACTCACTGCATGGGTCATGCTTTTGAGTCGACTCACTGCATGGGTCATGCTTTTGAGTCGACTCACTGCATGGGTCATGCTTTTGAGTCGACTCACTGCATGGGTCATGCTTTTGAGTCGACTCACTGCATGGGTCATGCTTTTGAGTCGACTCACTGCATGGGTCATGCTTTTGAGTCGACTCACTGCATGGGTCATGCTTTTGAGTCGACTCACTGCATGGGTCATGCTTTTGAGTCGACTCACTGCATGGGTCATGCTTTTGAGTCGACTCACTGCATGGGTCATGCTTTTGAGTCGACTCACTGCATGGGTCATGCTTTTGAGTCGACTCACTGCATGGGTCATGCTTTTGAGTCGACTCACTGCATGGGTCATGCTTTTGAGTCGACTCACTGCATGGGTCATGCTTTTGAGTCGACTCACTGCATGGGTCATGCTTTTGAGTCGACTCACTGCATGGGTCATGCTTTTGAGTCGACTCACTGCATGGGTCATGCTTTTGAGTCGACTCACTGCATGGGTCATGCTTTTGAGTCGACTCACTGCATGGGTCATGCTTTTGAGTCGACTCACTGCATGGGTCATGCTTTTGAGTCGACTCACTGCATGGGTCATGCTTTTGAGTCGACTCACTGCATGGGTCATGCTTTTGAGTCGACTCACTGCATGGGTCATGCTTTTGAGTCGACTCACTGCATGGGTCATGCTTTTGAGTCGACTCACTGCATGGGTCATGCTTTTGAGTCGACTCACTGCATGGGTCATGCTTTTGAGTCGACTCACTGCATGGGTCATGCTTTTGAGTCGACTCACTGCATGGGTCATGCTTTTGAGTCGACTCACTGCATGGGTCATGCTTTTGAGTCGACTCACTGCATGGGTCATGCTTTTGAGTCGACTCACTGCATGGGTCATGCTTTTGAGTCGACTCACTGCATGGGTCATGCTTTTGAGTCGACTCACTGCATGGGTCATGCTTTTGAGTCGACTCACTGCATGGGTCATGCTTTTGAGTCGACTCACTGCATGGGTCATGCTTTTGAGTCGACTCACTGCATGGGTCATGCTTTTGAGTCGACTCACTGCATGGGTCATGCTTTTGAGTCGACTCACTGCATGGGTCATGCTTTTGAGTCGACTCACTGCATGGGTCATGCTTTTGAGTCGACTCACTGCATGGGTCATGCTTTTGAGTCGACTCACTGCATGGGTCATGCTTTTGAGTCGACTCACTGCATGGGTCATGCTTTTGAGTCGACTCACTGCATGGGTCATGCTTTTGAGTCGACTCACTGCATGGGTCATGCTTTTGAGTCGACTCACTGCATGGGTCATGCTTTTGAGTCGACTCACTGCATGGGTCATGCTTTTGAGTCGACTCACTGCATGGGTCATGCTTTTGAGTCGACTCACTGCATGGGTCATGCTTTTGAGTCGACTCACTGCATGGGTCATGCTTTTGAGTCGACTCACTGCATGGGTCATGCTTTTGAGTCGACTCACTGCATGGGTCATGCTTTTGAGTCGACTCACTGCATGGGTCATGCTTTTGAGTCGACTCACTGCATGGGTCATGCTTTTGAGTCGACTCACTGCATGGGTCATGCTTTTGAGTCGACTCACTGCATGGGTCATGCTTTTGAGTCGACTCACTGCATGGGTCATGCTTTTGAGTCGACTCACTGCATGGGTCATGCTTTTGAGTCGACTCACTGCATGGGTCATGCTTTTGAGTCGACTCACTGCATGGGTCATGCTTTTGAGTCGACTCACTGCATGGGTCATGCTTTTGAGTCGACTCACTGCATGGGTCATGCTTTTGAGTCGACTCACTGCATGGGTCATGCTTTTGAGTCGACTCACTGCATGGGTCATGCTTTTGAGTCGACTCACTGCATGGGTCATGCTTTTGAGTCGACTCACTGCATGGGTCATGCTTTTGAGTCGACTCACTGCATGGGTCATGCTTTTGAGTCGACTCACTGCATGGGTCATGCTTTTGAGTCGACTCACTGCATGGGTCATGCTTTTGAGTCGACTCACTGCATGGGTCATGCTTTTGAGTCGACTCACTGCATGGGTCATGCTTTTGAGTCGACTCACTGCATGGGTCATGCTTTTGAGTCGACTCACTGCATGGGTCATGCTTTTGAGTCGACTCACTGCATGGGTCATGCTTTTGAGTCGACTCACTGCATGGGTCATGCTTTTGAGTCGACTCACTGCATGGGTCATGCTTTTGAGTCGACTCACTGCATGGGTCATGCTTTTGAGTCGACTCACTGCATGGGTCATGCTTTTGAGTCGACTCACTGCATGGGTCATGCTTTTGAGTCGACTCACTGCATGGGTCATGCTTTTGAGTCGACTCACTGCATGGGTCATGCTTTTGAGTCGACTCACTGCATGGGTCATGCTTTTGAGTCGACTCACTGCATGGGTCATGCTTTTGAGTCGACTCACTGCATGGGTCATGCTTTTGAGTCGACTCACTGCATGGGTCATGCTTTTGAGTCGACTCACTGCATGGGTCATGCTTTTGAGTCGACTCACTGCATGGGTCATGCTTTTGAGTCGACTCACTGCATGGGTCATGCTTTTGAGTCGACTCACTGCATGGGTCATGCTTTTGAGTCGACTCACTGCATGGGTCATGCTTTTGAGTCGACTCACTGCATGGGTCATGCTTTTGAGTCGACTCACTGCATGGGTCATGCTTTTGAGTCGACTCACTGCATGGGTCATGCTTTTGAGTCGACTCACTGCATGGGTCATGCTTTTGAGTCGACTCACTGCATGGGTCATGCTTTTGAGTCGACTCACTGCATGGGTCATGCTTTTGAGTCGACTCACTGCATGGGTCATGCTTTTGAGTCGACTCACTGCATGGGTCATGCTTTTGAGTCGACTCACTGCATGGGTCATGCTTTTGAGTCGACTCACTGCATGGGTCATGCTTTTGAGTCGACTCACTGCATGGGTCATGCTTTTGAGTCGACTCACTGCATGGGTCATGCTTTTGAGTCGACTCACTGCATGGGTCATGCTTTTGAGTCGACTCACTGCATGGGTCATGCTTTTGAGTCGACTCACTGCATGGGTCATGCTTTTGAGTCGACTCACTGCATGGGTCATGCTTTTGAGTCGACTCACTGCATGGGTCATGCTTTTGAGTCGACTCACTGCATGGGTCATGCTTTTGAGTCGACTCACTGCATGGGTCATGCTTTTGAGTCGACTCACTGCATGGGTCATGCTTTTGAGTCGACTCACTGCATGGGTCATGCTTTTGAGTCGACTCACTGCATGGGTCATGCTTTTGAGTCGACTCACTGCATGGGTCATGCTTTTGAGTCGACTCACTGCATGGGTCATGCTTTTGAGTCGACTCACTGCATGGGTCATGCTTTTGAGTCGACTCACTGCATGGGTCATGCTTTTGAGTCGACTCACTGCATGGGTCATGCTTTTGAGTCGACTCACTGCATGGGTCATGCTTTTGAGTCGACTCACTGCATGGGTCATGCTTTTGAGTCGACTCACTGCATGGGTCATGCTTTTGAGTCGACTCACTGCATGGGTCATGCTTTTGAGTCGACTCACTGCATGGGTCATGCTTTTGAGTCGACTCACTGCATGGGTCATGCTTTTGAGTCGACTCACTGCATGGGTCATGCTTTTGAGTCGACTCACTGCATGGGTCATGCTTTTGAGTCGACTCACTGCATGGGTCATGCTTTTGAGTCGACTCACTGCATGGGTCATGCTTTTGAGTCGACTCACTGCATGGGTCATGCTTTTGAGTCGACTCACTGCATGGGTCATGCTTTTGAGTCGACTCACTGCATGGGTCATGCTTTTGAGTCGACTCACTGCATGGGTCATGCTTTTGAGTCGACTCACTGCATGGGTCATGCTTTTGAGTCGACTCACTGCATGGGTCATGCTTTGAGTCGACTCACTGCATGGGTCATGCTTTTGAGTCGACTCACTGCATGGGTCATGCTTTTGAGTCGACTCACTGCATGGGTCATGCTTTGAGTCGACTCACTGCATGGGTCATGCTTTTGAGTCGACTCACTGCATGGGTCATGCTTTTGAGTCGACTCACTGCATGGGTCATGCTTTTGAGTCGACTCACTGCATGGGTCATGCTTTTGAGTCGACTCACTGCATGGGTCATGCTTTTGAGTCGACTCACTGCATGGGTCATGCTTTTGAGTCGACTCACTGCATGGGTCATGCTTTTGAGTCGACTCACTGCATGGGTCATGCTTTTGAGTCGACTCACTGCATGGGTCATGCTTTTGAGTCGACTCACTGCATGGGTCATGCTTTTGAGTCGACTCACTGCATGGGTCATGCTTTTGAGTCGACTCACTGCATGGGTCATGCTTTTGAGTCGACTCACTGCATGGGTCATGCTTTTGAGTCGACTCACTGCATGGGTCATGCTTTTGAGTCGACTCACTGCATGGGTCATGCTTTTGAGTCGACTCACTGCATGGGTCATGCTTTTGAGTCGACTCACTGCATGGGTCATGCTTTTGAGTCGACTCACTGCATGGGTCATGCTTTTGAGTCGACTCACTGCATGGGTCATGCTTTTGAGTCGACTCACTGCATGGGTCATGCTTTTGAGTCGACTCACTGCATGGGTCATGCTTTTGAGTCGACTCACTGCATGGGTCATGCTTTTGAGTCGACTCACTGCATGGGTCATGCTTTTGAGTCGACTCACTGCATGGGTCATGCTTTTGAGTCGACTCACTGCATGGGTCATGCTTTTGAGTCGACTCACTGCATGGGTCATGCTTTTGAGTCGACTCACTGCATGGGTCATGCTTTTGAGTCGACTCACTGCATGGGTCATGCTTTTGAGTCGACTCACTGCATGGGTCATGCTTTTGAGTCGACTCACTGCATGGGTCATGCTTTTGAGTCGACTCACTGCATGGGTCATGCTTTTGAGTCGACTCACTGCATGGGTCATGCTTTTGAGTCGACTCACTGCATGGGTCATGCTTTTGAGTCGACTCACTGCATGGGTCATGCTTTTGAGTCGACTCACTGCATGGGTCATGCTTTTGAGTCGACTCACTGCATGGGTCATGCTTTTGAGTCGACTCACTGCATGGGTCATGCTTTTGAGTCGACTCACTGCATGGGTCATGCTTTTGAGTCGACTCACTGCATGGGTCATGCTTTTGAGTCGACTCACTGCATGGGTCATGCTTTTGAGTCGACTCACTGCATGGGTCATGCTTTTGAGTCGACTCACTGCATGGGTCATGCTTTTGAGTCGACTCACTGCATGGGTCATGCTTTTGAGTCGACTCACTGCATGGGTCATGCTTTTGAGTCGACTCACTGCATGGGTCATGCTTTTGAGTCGACTCACTGCATGGGTCATGCTTTTGAGTCGACTCACTGCATGGGTCATGCTTTTGAGTCGACTCACTGCATGGGTCATGCTTTTGAGTCGACTCACTGCATGGGTCATGCTTTTGAGTCGACTCACTGCATGGGTCATGCTTTTGAGTCGACTCACTGCATGGGTCATGCTTTTGAGTCGACTCACTGCATGGGTCATGCTTTTGAGTCGACTCACTGCATGGGTCATGCTTTTGAGTCGACTCACTGCATGGGTCATGCTTTTGAGTCGACTCACTGCATGGGTCATGCTTTTGAGTCGACTCACTGCATGGGTCATGCTTTTGAGTCGACTCACTGCATGGGTCATGCTTTTGAGTCGACTCACTGCATGGGTCATGCTTTTGAGTCGACTCACTGCATGGGTCATGCTTTTGAGTCGACTCACTGCATGGGTCATGCTTTTGAGTCGACTCACTGCATGGGTCATGCTTTTGAGTCGACTCACTGCATGGGTCATGCTTTTGAGTCGACTCACTGCATGGGTCATGCTTTTGAGTCGACTCACTGCATGGGTCATGCTTTTGAGTCGACTCACTGCATGGGTCATGCTTTTGAGTCGACTCACTGCATGGGTCATGCTTTTGAGTCGACTCACTGCATGGGTCATGCTTTTGAGTCGACTCACTGCATGGGTCATGCTTTTGAGTCGACTCACTGCATGGGTCATGCTTTTGAGTCGACTCACTGCATGGGTCATGCTTTTGAGTCGACTCACTGCATGGGTCATGCTTTTGAGTCGACTCACTGCATGGGTCATGCTTTTGAGTCGACTCACTGCATGGGTCATGCTTTTGAGTCGACTCACTGCATGGGTCATGCTTTTGAGTCGACTCACTGCATGGGTCATGCTTTTGAGTCGACTCACTGCATGGGTCATGCTTTTGAGTCGACTCACTGCATGGGTCATGCTTTTGAGTCGACTCACTGCATGGGTCATGCTTTTGAGTCGACTCACTGCATGGGTCATGCTTTTGAGTCGACTCACTGCATGGGTCATGCTTTTGAGTCGACTCACTGCATGGGTCATGCTTTTGAGTCGACTCACTGCATGGGTCATGCTTTTGAGTCGACTCACTGCATGGGTCATGCTTTTGAGTCGACTCACTGCATGGGTCATGCTTTTGAGTCGACTCACTGCATGGGTCATGCTTTTGAGTCGACTCACTGCATGGGTCATGCTTTTGAGTCGACTCACTGCATGGGTCATGCTTTTGAGTCGACTCACTGCATGGGTCATGCTTTTGAGTCGACTCACTGCATGGGTCATGCTTTTGAGTCGACTCACTGCATGGGTCATGCTTTTGAGTCGACTCACTGCATGGGTCATGCTTTTGAGTCGACTCACTGCATGGGTCATGCTTTTGAGTCGACTCACTGCATGGGTCATGCTTTTGAGTCGACTCACTGCATGGGTCATGCTTTTGAGTCGACTCACTGCATGGGTCATGCTTTTGAGTCGACTCACTGCATGGGTCATGCTTTTGAGTCGACTCACTGCATGGGTCATGCTTTTGAGTCGACTCACTGCATGGGTCATGCTTTTGAGTCGACTCACTGCATGGGTCATGCTTTTGAGTCGACTCACTGCATGGGTCATGCTTTTGAGTCGACTCACTGCATGGGTCATGCTTTTGAGTCGACTCACTGCATGGGTCATGCTTTTGAGTCGACTCACTGCATGGGTCATGCTTTTGAGTCGACTCACTGCATGGGTCATGCTTTTGAGTCGACTCACTGCATGGGTCATGCTTTTGAGTCGACTCACTGCATGGGTCATGCTTTTGAGTCGACTCACTGCATGGGTCATGCTTTTGAGTCGACTCACTGCATGGGTCATGCTTTTGAGTCGACTCACTGCATGGGTCATGCTTTTGAGTCGACTCACTGCATGGGTCATGCTTTTGAGTCGACTCACTGCATGGGTCATGCTTTTGAGTCGACTCACTGCATGGGTCATGCTTTTGAGTCGACTCACTGCATGGGTCATGCTTTTGAGTCGACTCACTGCATGGGTCATGCTTTTGAGTCGACTCACTGCATGGGTCATGCTTTTGAGTCGACTCACTGCATGGGTCATGCTTTTGAGTCGACTCACTGCATGGGTCATGCTTTTGAGTCGACTCACTGCATGGGTCATGCTTTTGAGTCGACCTGATGGGTCATGCTTTGAGTCGACTCACTGCATGGGTCATGCTTTTGAGTCGACTCACTGCATGGGTCATGCTTTTGAGTCGACTCACTGCATGGGTCATGCTTTTGAGTCGACTCACTGCATGGGTCATGCTTTTGAGTCGACTCACTGCATGGGTCATGCTTTTGAGTCGACTCACTGCATGGGTCATGCTTTTGAGTCGACTCACTGCATGGGTCATGCTTTTGAGTCGACTCACTGCATGGGTCATGCTTTTGAGTCGACTCACTGCATGGGTCATGCTTTTGAGTCGACTCACTGCATGGGTCATGCTTTTGAGTCGACTCACTGCATGGGTCATGCTTTTGAGTCGACTCACTGCATGGGGTCATGCTTTTGAGTCGACTCACTGCATGGGTCATGCTTTTGAGTCGACTCACTGCATGGGTCATGCTTTTGAGTCGACTCACTGCATGGGTCATGCTTTTGAGTCGACTCACTGCATGGGTCATGCTTTTGAGTCGACTCACTGCATGGGTCATGCTTTTGAGTCGACTCACTGCATGGGTCATGCTTTTGAGTCGACTCACTGCATGGGTCATGCTTTTGAGTCGACTCACTGCATGGGTCATGCTTTTGAGTCGACTCACTGCATGGGTCATGCTTTTGAGTCGACTCACTGCATGGGTCATGCTTTTGAGTCGACTCACTGCATGGGTCATGCTTTTGAGTCGACTCACTGCATGGGTCATGCTTTTGAGTCGACTCACTGCATGGGTCATGCTTTTGAGTCGACTCACTGCATGGGTCATGCTTTGAGTCGACTCACTGCATGGGTCATGCTTTTGAGTCGACTCACTGCATGGGTCATGCTTTTGGGAGTCGACTCACTGCATGGGTCATGCTTTTGAGTCGACTCACTGCATGGGTCATGCTTTTGAGTCGACTCACTGCATGGGTCATGCTTTTGAGTCGACTCACTGCATGGGTCATGCTTTTGAGTCGACTCACTGCATGGGTCATGCTTTTGAGTCGACTCACTGCATGGGTCATGCTTTTGAGTCGACTCACTGCATGGGTCATGCTTTTGAGTCGACTCACTGCATGGGTCATGCTTTTGAGTCGACTCACTGCATGGGTCATGCTTTTGAGTCGACTCACTGCATGGGTCATGCTTTTGAGTCGACTCACTGCATGGGTCATGCTTTTGAGTCGACTCACTGCATGGGTCATGCTTTTGAGTCGACTCACTGCATGGGTCATGCTTTTGAGTCGACTCACTGCATGGGTCATGCTTTTGAGTCGACTCACTGCATGGGTCATGCTTTTGAGTCGACTCACTGCATGGGTCATGCTTTTGAGTCGACTCACTGCATGGGTCATGCTTTTGAGTCGACTCACTGCATGGGTCATGCTTTTGAGTCGACTCACTGCATGGGTCATGCTTTTGAGTCGACTCACTGCATGGGTCATGCTTTTGAGTCGACTCACTGCATGGGTCATGCTTTTGAGTCGACTCACTGCATGGGTCATGCTTTTGAGTCGACTCACTGCATGGGTCATGCTTTTGAGTCGACTCACTGCATGGGTCATGCTTTTGAGTCGACTCACTGCATGGGTCATGCTTTTGAGTCGACTCACTGCATGGGTCATGCTTTTGAGTCGACTCACTGCATGGGTCATGCTTTTGAGTCGACTCACTGCATGGGTCATGCTTTTGAGTCGACTCACTGCATGGGTCATGCTTTTGAGTCGACTCACTGCATGGGTCATGCTTTTGAGTCGACTCACTGCATGGGTCATGCTTTTGAGTCGACTCACTGCATGGGTCATGCTTTTGAGTCGACTCACTGCATGGGTCATGCTTTTGAGTCGACTCACTGCATGGGTCATGCTTTTGAGTCGACTCACTGCATGGGTCATGCTTTTGAGTCGACTCACTGCATGGGTCATGCTTTTGAGTCGACTCACTGCATGGGTCATGCTTTTGAGTCGACTCACTGCATGGGTCATGCTTTTGAGTCGACTCACTGCATGGGTCATGCTTTTGAGTCGACTCACTGCATGGGTCATGCTTTTGAGTCGACTCACTGCATGGGTCATGCTTTTGAGTCGACTCACTGCATGGGTCATGCTTTTGAGTCGACTCACTGCATGGGTCATGCTTTTGAGTCGACTCACTGCATGGGTCATGCTTTTGAGTCGACTCACTGCATGGGTCATGCTTTTGAGTCGACTCACTGCATGGGTCATGCTTTTGAGTCGACTCACTGCATGGGTCATGCTTTTGAGTCGACTCACTGCATGGGTCATGCTTTTGAGTCGACTCACTGCATGGGTCATGCTTTTGAGTCGACTCACTGCATGGGTCATGCTTTTGAGTCGACTCACTGCATGGGTCATGCTTTTGAGTCGACTCACTGCATGGGTCATGCTTTTGAGTCGACTCACTGCATGGGTCATGCTTTTGAGTCGACTCACTGCATGGGTCATGCTTTTGAGTCGACTCACTGCATGGGTCATGCTTTTGAGTCGACTCACTGCATGGGTCATGCTTTTGAGTCGACTCACTGCATGGGTCATGCTTTTGAGTCGACTCACTGCATGGGTCATGCTTTTGAGTCGACTCACTGCATGGGTCATGCTTTTGAGTCGACTCACTGCATGGGTCATGCTTTTGAGTCGACTCACTGCATGGGTCATGCTTTTGAGTCGACTCACTGCATGGGTCATGCTTTTGAGTCGACTCACTGCATGGGTCATGCTTTTGAGTCGACTCACTGCATGGGTCATGCTTTTGAGTCGACTCACTGCATGGGTCATGCTTTTGAGTCGACTCACTGCATGGGTCATGCTTTTGAGTCGACTCACTGCATGGGTCATGCTTTTGAGTCGACTCACTGCATGGGTCATGCTTTTGAGTCGACTCACTGCATGGGTCATGCTTTTGAGTCGACTCACTGCATGGGTCATGCTTTTGAGTCGACTCACTGCATGGGTCATGCTTTTGAGTCGACTCACTGCATGGGTCATGCTTTTGAGTCGACTCACTGCATGGGTCATGCTTTTGAGTCGACTCACTGCATGGGTCATGCTTTTGAGTCGACTCACTGCATGGGTCATGCTTTTGAGTCGACTCACTGCATGGGTCATGCTTTTGAGTCGACTCACTGCATGGGTCATGCTTTTGAGTCGACTCACTGCATGGGTCATGCTTTTGAGTCGACTCACTGCATGGGTCATGCTTTTGAGTCGACTCACTGCATGGGTCATGCTTTTGAGTCGACTCACTGCATGGGTCATGCTTTTGAGTCGACTCACTGCATGGGTCATGCTTTTGAGTCGACTCACTGCATGGGTCATGCTTTTGAGTCGACTCACTGCATGGGTCATGCTTTTGAGTCGACTCACTGCATGGGTCATGCTTTTGAGTCGACTCACTGCATGGGTCATGCTTTTGAGTCGACTCACTGCATGGGTCATGCTTTTGAGTCGACTCACTGCATGGGTCATGCTTTTGAGTCGACTCACTGCATGGGTCATGCTTTTGAGTCGACTCACTGCATGGGTCATGCTTTTGAGTCGACTCACTGCATGGGTCATGCTTTTGAGTCGACTCACTGCATGGGTCATGCTTTTGAGTCGACTCACTGCATGGGTCATGCTTTTGAGTCGACTCACTGCATGGGTCATGCTTTTGAGTCGACTCACTGCATGGGTCATGCTTTTGAGTCGACTCACTGCATGGGTCATGCTTTTGAGTCGACTCACTGCATGGGTCATGCTTTTGAGTCGACTCACTGCATGGGTCATGCTTTTGAGTCGACTCACTGCATGGGTCATGCTTTTGAGTCGACTCACTGCATGGGTCATGCTTTTGAGTCGACTCACTGCATGGGTCATGCTTTTGAGTCGACTCACTGCATGGGTCATGCTTTTGAGTCGACTCACTGCATGGGTCATGCTTTTGAGTCGACTCACTGCATGGGTCATGCTTTTGAGTCGACTCACTGCATGGGTCATGCTTTTGAGTCGACTCACTGCATGGGTCATGCTTTTGAGTCGACTCACTGCATGGGTCATGCTTTTGAGTCGACTCACTGCATGGGTCATGCTTTTGAGTCGACTCACTGCATGGGTCATGCTTTTGAGTCGACTCACTGCATGGGTCATGCTTTTGAGTCGACTCACTGCATGGGTCATGCTTTTGAGTCGACTCACTGCATGGGTCATGCTTTTGAGTCGACTCACTGCATGGGTCATGCTTTTGAGTCGACTCACTGCATGGGTCATGCTTTTGAGTCGACTCACTGCATGGGTCATGCTTTTGAGTCGACTCACTGCATGGGTCATGCTTTTGAGTCGACTCACTGCATGGGTCATGCTTTTGAGTCGACTCACTGCATGGGTCATGCTTTTGAGTCGACTCACTGCATGGGTCATGCTTTTGAGTCGACTCACTGCATGGGTCATGCTTTTGAGTCGACTCACTGCATGGGTCATGCTTTTGAGTCGACTCACTGCATGGGTCATGCTTTTGAGTCGACTCACTGCATGGGTCATGCTTTTGAGTCGACTCACTGCATGGGTCATGCTTTTGAGTCGACTCACTGCATGGGTCATGCTTTTGAGTCGACTCACTGCATGGGTCATGCTTTTGAGTCGACTCACTGCATGGGTCATGCTTTTGAGTCGACTCACTGCATGGGTCATGCTTTTGAGTCGACTCACTGCATGGGTCATGCTTTTGAGTCGACTCACTGCATGGGTCATGCTTTTGAGTCGACTCACTGCATGGGTCATGCTTTTGAGTCGACTCACTGCATGGGTCATGCTTTTGAGTCGACTCACTGCATGGGTCATGCTTTTGAGTCGACTCACTGGCATGGGTCATGCTTTTGAGTCGACTCACTGCATGGGTCATGCTTTTGAGTCGACTCACTGCATGGGTCATGCTTTTGAGTCGACTCACTGCATGGGTCATGCTTTTGAGTCGACTCACTGCATGGGTCATGCTTTTGAGTCGACTCACTGCATGGGTCATGCTTTTGAGTCGACTCACTGCATGGGTCATGCTTTTGAGTCGACTCACTGCATGGGTCATGCTTTTGAGTCGACTCACTGCATGGGTCATGCTTTTGAGTCGACTCACTGCATGGGTCATGCTTTTGAGTCGACTCACTGCATGGGTCATGCTTTTGAGTCGACTCACTGCATGGGTCATGCTTTTGAGTCGACTCACTGCATGGGTCATGCTTTTGAGTCGACTCACTGCATGGGTCATGCTTTTGAGTCGACTCACTGCATGGGTCATGCTTTTGAGTCGACTCACTGCATGGGTCATGCTTTTGAGTCGACTCACTGCATGGGTCATGCTTTTGAGTCGACTCACTGCATGGGTCATGCTTTTGAGTCGACTCACTGCATGGGTCATGCTTTTGAGTCGACTCACTGCATGGGTCATGCTTTTGAGTCGACTCACTGCATGGGTCATGCTTTTGAGTCGACTCACTGCATGGGTCATGCTTTTGAGTCGACTCACTGCATGGGTCATGCTTTTGAGTCGACTCACTGCATGGGTCATGCTTTTGAGTCGACTCACTGCATGGGTCATGCTTTTGAGTCGACTCACTGCATGGGTCATGCTTTTGAGTCGACTCACTGCATGGGTCATGCTTTTGAGTCGACTCACTGCATGGGTCATGCTTTTGAGTCGACTCACTGCATGGGTCATGCTTTTGAGTCGACTCACTGCATGGGTCATGCTTTTGAGTCGACTCACTGCATGGGTCATGCTTTTGAGTCGACTCACTGCATGGGTCATGCTTTTGAGTCGACTCACTGCATGGGTCATGCTTTTGAGTCGACTCACTGCATGGGTCATGCTTTTGAGTCGACTCACTGCATGGGTCATGCTTTTGAGTCGACTCACTGCATGGGTCATGCTTTTGAGTCGACTCACTGCATGGGTCATGCTTTTGAGTCGACTCACTGCATGGGTCATGCTTTTGAGTCGACTCACTGCATGGGTCATGCTTTTGAGTCGACTCACTGCATGGGTCATGCTTTTGAGTCGACTCACTGCATGGGTCATGCTTTTGAGTCGACTCACTGCATGGGTCATGCTTTTGAGTCGACTCACTGCATGGGTCATGCTTTTGAGTCGACTCACTGCATGGGTCATGCTTTTGAGTCGACTCACTGCATGGGTCATGCTTTTGAGTCGACTCACTGCATGGGTCATGCTTTTGAGTCGACTCACTGCATGGGTCATGCTTTTGAGTCGACTCACTGCATGGGTCATGCTTTTGAGTCGACTCACTGCATGGGTCATGCTTTTGAGTCGACTCACTGCATGGGTCATGCTTTTGAGTCGACTCACTGCATGGGTCATGCTTTTGAGTCGACTCACTGCATGGGTCATGCTTTTGAGTCGACTCACTGCATGGGTCATGCTTTTGAGTCGACTCACTGCATGGGTCATGCTTTTGAGTCGACTCACTGCATGGGTCATGCTTTTGAGTCGACTCACTGCATGGGTCATGCTTTTGAGTCGACTCACTGCATGGGTCATGCTTTTGAGTCGACTCACTGCATGGGTCATGCTTTTGAGTCGACTCACTGCATGGGTCATGCTTTTGAGTCGACTCACTGCATGGGTCATGCTTTTGAGTCGACTCACTGCATGGGTCATGCTTTTGAGTCGACTCACTGCATGGGTCATGCTTTTGAGTCGACTCACTGCATGGGTCATGCTTTTGAGTCGACTCACTGCATGGGTCATGCTTTTGAGTCGACTCACTGCATGGGTCATGCTTTTGAGTCGACTCACTGCATGGGTCATGCTTTTGAGTCGACTCACTGCATGGGTCATGCTTTTGAGTCGACTCACTGCATGGGTCATGCTTTTGAGTCGACTCACTGCATGGGTCATGCTTTTGAGTCGACTCACTGCATGGGTCATGCTTTTGAGTCGACTCACTGCATGGGTCATGCTTTTGAGTCGACTCACTGCATGGGTCATGCTTTTGAGTCGACTCACTGCATGGGTCATGCTTTTGAGTCGACTCACTGCATGGGTCATGCTTTTGAGTCGACTCACTGCATGGGTCATGCTTTTGAGTCGACTCACTGCATGGGTCATGCTTTTGAGTCGACTCACTGCATGGGTCATGCTTTTGAGTCGACTCACTGCATGGGTCATGCTTTTGCGACTCACTGCATGGGTCATGCTTTTGAGTCGACTCACTGCATGGGTCATGCTTTTGAGTCGACTCACTGCATGGGTCATGCTTTTGAGTCGACTCACTGCATGGGTCATGCTTTTGAGTCGACTCACTGCATGGGTCATGCTTTTGAGTCGACTCACTGCATGGGTCATGCTTTTGAGTCGACTCACTGCATGGGTCATGCTTTTGAGTCGACTCACTGCATGGGTCATGCTTTTGAGTCGACTCACTGCATGGGTCATGCTTTTGAGTCGACTCACTGCATGGGTCATGCTTTTGAGTCGACTCACTGCATGGGTCATGCTTTTGAGTCGACTCACTGCATGGGTCATGCTTTTGAGTCGACTCACTGCATGGGTCATGCTTTTGAGTCGACTCACTGCATGGGTCATGCTTTTGAGTCGACTCACTGCATGGGTCATGCTTTGAGTCGACTCACTGCATGGGTCATGCTTTTGAGTCGACTCACTGCATGGGTCATGCTTTTGAGTCGACTCACTGCATGGGTCATGCTTTTGAGTCGACTCACTGCATGGGTCATGCTTTTGAGTCGACTCACTGCATGGGTCATGCTTTTGAGTCGACTCACTGCATGGGTCATGCTTTTGAGTCGACTCACTGCATGGGTCATGCTTTTGAGTCGACTCACTGCATGGGTCATGCTTTTGAGTCGACTCACTGCATGGGTCATGCTTTTGAGTCGACTCACTGCATGGGTCATGCTTTTGAGTCGACTCACTGCATGGGTCATGCTTTTGAGTCGACTCACTGCATGGGTCATGCTTTTGAGTCGACTCACTGCATGGGTCATGCTTTTGAGTCGACTCACTGCATGGGTCATGCTTTTGAGTCGACTCACTGCATGGGTCATGCTTTTGAGTCGACTCACTGCATGGGTCATGCTTTTGAGTCGACTCACTGCATGGGTCATGCTTTTGAGTCGACTCACTGCATGGGTCATGCTTTTGAGTCGACTCACTGCATGGGTCATGCTTTTGAGTCGACTCACTGCATGGGTCATGCTTTTGAGTCGACTCACTGCATGGGTCATGCTTTTGAGTCGACTCACTGCATGGGTCATGCTTTTGAGTCGACTCACTGCATGGGTCATGCTTTTGAGTCGACTCACTGCATGGGTCATGCTTTTGAGTCGACTCACTGCATGGGTCATGCTTTTGAGTCGACTCACTGCATGGGTCATGCTTTTGAGTCGACTCACTGCATGGGTCATGCTTTTGAGTCGACTCACTGCATGGGTCATGCTTTTGAGTCGACTCACTGCATGGGTCATGCTTTTGAGTCGACTCACTGCATGGGTCATGCTTTTGAGTCGACTCACTGCATGGGTCATGCTTTTGAGTCGACTCACTGCATGGGTCATGCTTTTGAGTCGACTCACTGCATGGGTCATGCTTTTGAGTCGACTCACTGCATGGGTCATGCTTTTGAGTCGACTCACTGCATGGGTCATGCTTTTGAGTCGACTCACTGCATGGGTCATGCTTTTGAGTCGACTCACTGCATGGGTCATGCTTTTGAGTCGACTCACTGCATGGGTCATGCTTTTGAGTCGACTCACTGCATGGGTCATGCTTTTGAGTCGACTCACTGCATGGGTCATGCTTTTGAGTCGACTCACTGCATGGGTCATGCTTTTGAGTCGACTCACTGCATGGGTCATGCTTTTGAGTCGACTCACTGCATGGGTCATGCTTTTGAGTCGACTCACTGCATGGGTCATGCTTTTGAGTCGACTCACTGCATGGGTCATGCTTTTGAGTCGACTCGCTGCATGGGTCATGCTTTTGAGTCGACTCGCTGCATGGGTCATGCTTTTGAGTCGACTCACTGCATGGGTCATGCTTTTGAGTCGACTCACTGCATGGGTCATGCTTTTGAGTCGACTCACTGCATGGGTCATGCTTTTGAGTCGACTCACTGCATGGGTCATGCTTTTGAGTCGACTCACTGCATGGGTCATGCTTTTGAGTCGACTCACTGCATGGGTCATGCTTTTGAGTCGACTCACTGCATGGGTCATGCTTTTGAGTCGACTCACTGCATGGGTACATGCTTTTGAGTCGACTCACTGCATGGGTCATGCTTTTGAGTCGACTCACTGCATGGGTCATGCTTTTGAGTCGACTCACTGCATGGGTCATGCTTTTGAGTCGACTCACTGCATGGGTCATGCTTTTGAGTCGACTCACTGCATGGGTCATGCTTTTGAGTCGACTCGCTGCATGGGTCATGCTTTTGAGTCGACTCGCTGCATGGGTCATGCTTTTGAGTCGACTCACTGCATGGGTCATGCTTTTGAGTCGACTCACTGCATGGGTCATGCTTTTGAGTCGACTCACTGCATGGGTCATGCTTTTGAGTCGACTCACTGCATGGGTCATGCTTTTGAGTCGACTCACTGCATGGGTCATGCTTTTGAGTCGACTCACTGCATGGGTCATGCTTTTGAGTCGACTCACTGCATGGGTCATGCTTTTGAGTCGACTCACTGCATGGGTCATGCTTTTGAGTCGACTTAGTCGACTCCTGCATGGGTCATGCTTTTGAGTCGACTCACTGCATGGGTCATGCTTTTGAGTCGACTCACTGCATGGGTCATGCTTTTGAGTCGACTCACTGCATGGGTCATGCTTTTGAGTCGACTCACTGCATGGGTCATGCTTTTGAGTCGACTCACTGCATGGGTCATGCTTTTGAGTCGACTCACTGCATGGGTCATGCTTTTGAGTCGACTCACTGCATGGGTCATGCTTTTGAGTCGACTCACTGCATGGGTCATGCTTTTGAGTCGACTCACTGCATGGGTCATGCTTTTGAGTCGACTCACTGCATGGGTCATGCTTTTGAGTCGACTCACTGCATGGGTCATGCTTTTGAGTCGACTCACTGCATGGGTCATGCTTTTGAGTCGACTCGCTGCATGGGTCATGCTTTTGAGTCGACTCGCTGCATGGGTCATGCTTTTGAGTCGACTCACTGCATGGGTCATGCTTTTGAGTCGACTCACTGCATGGGTCATGCTTTTGAGTCGACTCACTGCATGGGTCATGCTTTTGAGTCGACTCACTGCATGGGTCATGCTTTTGAGTCGACTCACTGCATGGGTCATGCTTTTGAGTCGACTCACTGCATGGGTCATGCTTTTGAGCCGACTCACTGCATGGGTCATGCTTTTGAGTCGACTCACTGCATGGGTCATGCTTTTGAGTCGACTCACTGCATGGGTCATGCTTTTGAGTCGACTCACTGCATGGGTCATGCTTTTGAGTCGACTCACTGCATGGGTCATGCTTTTGAGTCGACTCACTGCATGGGTCATGCTTTTGAGTCGACTCACTGCATGGGTCATGCTTTTGAGTCGACTCACTGCATGGGTCATGCTTTTGAGTCGACTCACTGCATGGGTCATGCTTTTGAGTCGACTCACTGCATGGGTCATGCTTTTGAGTCGACTCACTGCATGGGTCATGCTTTTGAGTCGACTCGCTGCATGGGTCATGCTTTTGAGTCGACTCGCTGCATGGGTCATGCTTTTGAGTCGACTCACTGCATGGGTCATGCTTTTGAGTCGACTCACTGCATGGGTCATGCTTTTGAGTCGACTCACTGCATGGGTCATGCTTTTGAGTCGACTCACTGCATGGGTCATGCTTTTGAGTCGACTCACTGCATGGGTCATGCTTTTGAGTCGACTCACTGCATGGGTCATGCTTTTGAGTCGACTCACTGCATGGGTCATGCTTTTGAGTCGACTCACTGCATGGGTCATGCTTTTGAGTCGACTCACTGCATGGGTCATGCTTTTGAGTCGACTCACTGCATGGGTCATGCTTTTGAGTCGACTCACTGCATGGGTCATGCTTTTGAGTCGACTCACTGCATGGGTCATGCTTTTGAGTCGACTCACTGCATGGGTCATGCTTTTGAGTCGACTCACTGCATGGGTCATGCTTTTGAGTCGACTCACTGCATGGGTCATGCTTTTGAGTCGACTCACTGCATGGGTCATGCTTTTGAGTCGACTCACTGCATGGGTCATGCTTTTGAGTCGACTCACTGCATGGGTCATGCTTTTGAGTCGACTCACTGCATGGGTCATGCTTTTGAGTCGACTCACTGCATGGGTCATGCTTTTGAGTCGACTCACTGCATGGGTCATGCTTTTGAGTCGACTCACTGCATGGGTCATGCTTTTGAGTCGACTCACTGCATGGGTCATGCTTTTGAGTCGACTCACTGCATGGGTCATGCTTTTGAGTCGACTCACTGCATGGGTCATGCTTTTGAGTCGACTCACTGCATGGGTCATGCTTTTGAGTCGACTCACTGCATGGGTCATGCTTTTGAGTCGACTCACTGCATGGGTCATGCTTTTGAGTCGACTCACTGCATGGGTCATGCTTTTGAGTCGACTCACTGCATGGGTCATGCTTTTGAGTCGACTCACTGCATGGGTCATGCTTTTGAGTCGACTCACTGCATGGGTCATGCTTTTGAGTCGACTCACTGCATGGGTCATGCTTTTGAGTCGACTCACTGCATGGGTCATGCTTTTGAGTCGACTCACTGCATGGGTCATGCTTTTGAGTCGACTCACTGCATGGGTCATGCTTTTGAGTCGACTCACTGCATGGGTCATGCTTTTGAGTCGACTCACTGCATGGGTCATGCTTTTGAGTCGACTCACTGCATGGGTCATGCTTTTGAGTCGACTCACTGCATGGGTCATGCTTTTGAGTCGACTCACTGCATGGGTCATGCTTTTGAGTCGACTCACTGCATGGGTCATGCTTTTGAGTCGACTCACTGCATGGGTCATGCTTTTGAGTCGACTCACTGCATGGGTCATGCTTTTGAGTCGACTCACTGCATGGGTCATGCTTTTGAGTCGACTCACTGCATGGGTCATGCTTTTGAGTCGACTCACTGCATGGGTCATGCTTTTGAGTCGACTCACTGCATGGGTCATGCTTTTGAGTCGACTCACTGCATGGGTCATGCTTTTGAGTCGACTCACTGCATGGGTCATGCTTTTGAGTCGACTCACTGCATGGGTCATGCTTTTGAGTCGACTCACTGCATGGGTCATGCTTTTGAGTCGACTCACTGCATGGGTCATGCTTTTGAGTCGACTCACTGCATGGGTCATGCTTTTGAGTCGACTCACTGCATGGGTCATGCTTTTGAGTCGACTCACTGCATGGGTCATGCTTTTGAGTCGACTCACTGCATGGGTCATGCTTTTGAGTCGACTCACTGCATGGGTCATGCTTTTGAGTCGACTCACTGCATGGGTCATGCTTTTGAGTCGACTCACTGCATGGGTCATGCTTTTGAGTCGACTCACTGCATGGGTCATGCTTTTGAGTCGACTCACTGCATGGGTCATGCTTTTGAGTCGACTCACTGCATGGGTCATGCTTTTGAGTCGACTCACTGCATGGGTCATGCTTTTGAGTCGACTCACTGCATGGGTCATGCTTTTGAGTCGACTCACTGCATGGGTCATGCTTTTGAGTCGACTCACTGCATGGGTCATGCTTTTGAGTCGACTCACTGCATGGGTCATGCTTTTGAGTCGACTCACTGCATGGGTCATGCTTTTGAGTCGACTCACTGCATGGGTCATGCTTTTGAGTCGACTCACTGCATGGGTCATGCTTTTGAGTCGACTCACTGCATGGGTCATGCTTTTGAGTCGACTCACTGCATGGGTCATGCTTTTGAGTCGACTCACTGCATGGGTCATGAACGTAAGATGGAAGGCAAGTAGGGCGCGAGTTTAAAGTTTTGATGGATGATAGAAGAAGTAGACAAGGCAGTGAGGCACGTTTAAAGCTGCACTAAGGTCTCGACCAGTTGAAGCAGCTAAGACCGAGTGGGAAACAGAGTTAAAGGAAGGAAGGAAGAGGAGCCAAATTTAGTGCGTCATTCTCGTTCACCTATACCCACCGGTATTTAACCCGCCTCACGGCTTTCCATTCATGCTCACCGTCGCCCATCCATTTGAGTGGCTCCACAAACACAGACGTGCATCCTCGCTCTGCTCCACAGCCCCAATCCTTGCCCTTCCCACGAAATCTGACCCCTCCTCCCCCTCCCCCACCAGTCCCAGCAGCAGCAGCACCGTCACCACCCCCAGCAGCAGCACTAGCAGCGTCAGTGGTGCTGGCAGGTGGTTTAGGGGCATGAGGGAGCACATTGCCTGCAGCTGCCACCACCTGCCGGCACTTTCGGCAGCGATACACCTCTGGAGCCCTTGCTGCTTCCTTTGATGCCCCTGCTGCCGCCGCTGCCCCTGCTTCTCCCGCTCCTCCTGCTCCCCCTGCTCCTCCTTCTGCCCCTGCTGCTGCTGCTGCCCCTGCTGCTGATGCTCCTGCTCCTGCTGTTCCTACCTCCCCCTCTTGCCCCATTCCAGCCCGTAACTGAACGTCCCCGCTACTTGCATCCCCGTTACTAGCAGCTCCGTCGCCAGCCTCAAACGGCACGCCCTGGTGCAGTGAGCCGGTGATGCGGCGAGCCATGAGGCGCAGCTTGAAGCGCGAGTACTCGGAGTGGTGCGGGTCCACCGCCCACTTCATGCTGTGAAAGATACGTAGCTGAGGTGGGGAAGGGGGGCAGTGGGCGAAAGGGGCGAAGGGGTGGGTGATGCGGCGAGCCATGAGGCGCAGCTTGAAGCGCGAGTAGTCGGAGTGGTGCGGGTCCACGGTCCACCCCATGCTGTGGAAGATCCGAAGCTGAGGTGAGGTGAGAAAAGGGAGAGGCGGGATAGGAACACCATGAGGGAGTAGTCAGAGTGGTGGGGGTCCACCGTCCATTTCATGTTGTGGAAGATGCGAAGCTGAAGCGGGAAGAGAGGGGAAGGGGGGAAAAGGGAGGAAGCGTGCCAGTTATTCGGGGGCCATGAGGCGCAGCTTGTGAGGCGCCTCAAAAGTTATTCGGGGGCCATGAGGCGCAGCTTGTGAGGCGCCTCAAAAGTTATTCGGGGGCCATGAGGCGCAGCTTGTGAGGCGCCTCAAAAGTTATTCGGGGGCCGTGAGGCGCAGCTTGTGAGGCGCCTCAAAAGTTATTCGGGGGCCATGAGGCGCAGCTTGTGAGGCGCCTCAAAAGTTATTCGGGGGCCATGAGGCGCAGCTTGAAGCGCGAGTACTCAGAGTGGAGGGGGTCCACCGCCCACTTCATGCTGTGGAAGATCCGAAGCTGAGGCAAGAACGGGGGGAAGGGGAAGAAGAGTTTCGCAAAAAAGAATCAAGGAAAGGGTAACGCAGAGCTTGAAGCGCGAGAAGTCGGATTGGTGGAGAGTGGTGGGGGTAGACAGCCCACCCCATGCTGTGGAATATGCGTAGCTGAGGCAACAGGGGGTTTGTTCAGAGAAGCAAGGAAAGGGTAACGCAGAGCTTGAAGCGCGAGAAGTCGGAGTGGTGGAGAGTGGTGGGGGTTGACAGCCCACCCCATGCTGTGGAATATGCGTAGCTGAGGCAACAGGGGGTTTGTTCAGAGAAGCAAGGAAAGGGTAACGCAGAGCTTGAAGCGCGAGAAGTCGGAGTGGTGGAGAGTGGTGGGGGTTGACAGCCCACCCCATGCTGTGGAATATGCGTAGCTGAGGCAACAGGGGGTTTGTTCAGAGAAGCAAGGAAAGGGTAACGCAGAGCTTGAAGCGCGAGAAGTCGGAGTGGTGGAGAGTGGTGGGGGTTGACAGCCCACCCCATGCTGTGGAATATGCGTAGCTGAGGCAACAGGGGGTTTGTTCAGAGAAGCAAGGAAAGGGTAACGCAGAGCTTGAAGCGCGAGAAGTCGGAGTGGTGGAGAGTGGTGGGGGTTGACAGCCCACCCCATGCTGTGGAATATGCGTAGCTGAGGCAACAGGGGGTTTGTTCAGAGAAGCAAGGAAAGGGTAACGCAGAGCTTGAAGCGCGAGAAGTCGGAGTGGTGGAGAGTGGTGGGGGTTGACAGCCCACCCCATGCTGTGGAATATGCGTAGCTGAGGCAACAGGGGGTTTGTTCAGAGAAGCAAGGAAAGGGTAACGCAGAGCTTGAAGCGCGAGAAGTCGGAGTGGTGGAGAGTGGTGGGGGTTGACAGCCCACCCCATGCTGTGGAATATGCGTAGCTGAGGCAACAGGGGGTTTGTTCAGAGAAGCAAGGAAAGGGTAACGCAGAGCTTGAAGCGCGAGAAGTCGGAGTGGTGGAGAGTGGTGGGGGTTGACAGCCCACCCCATGCTGTGGAATATGCGTAGCTGAGGCAACAGGGGGTTTGTTCAGAGAAGCAAGGAAAGGGTAACGCAGAGCTTGAAGCGCGAGAAGTCGGAGTGGTGGAGAGTGGTGGGGGTTGACAGCCCACCCCATGCTGTGGAATATGCGTAGCTGAGGCAACAGGGGGTTTGTTCAGAGAAGCAAGGAAAGGGTAACGCAGAGCTTGAAGCGCGAGAAGTCGGAGTGGTGGAGAGTGGTGGGGGTTGACAGCCCACCCCATGCTGTGGAATATGCGTAGCTGAGGCAACAGGGGGTTTGTTCAGAGAAGCAAGGAAAGGGTAACGCAGAGCTTGAAGCGCGAGAAGTCGGAGTGGTGGAGAGTGGTGGGGGTTGACAGCCCACCCCATGCTGTGGAATATGCGTAGCTGAGGCAACAGGGGGTTTGTTCAGAGAAGCAAGGAAAGGGTAACGCAGAGCTTGAAGCGCGAGAAGTCGGAGTGGTGGAGAGTGGTGGGGGTTGACAGCCCACCCCATGCTGTGGAATATGCGTAGCTGAGGCAACAGGGGGTTTGTTCAGAGAAGCAAGGAAAGGGTAACGCAGAGCTTGAAGCGCGAGAAGTCGGAGTGGTGGAGAGTGGTGGGGGTTGACAGCCCACCCCATGCTGTGGAATATGCGTAGCTGAGGCAACAGGGGGTTTGTTCAGAGAAGCAAGGAAAGGGTAACGCAGAGCTTGAAGCGCGAGAAGTCGGAGTGGTGGAGAGTGGTGGGGGTTGACAGCCCACCCCATGCTGTGGAATATGCGTAGCTGAGGCAACAGGGGGTTTGTTCAGAGAAGCAAGGAAAGGGTAACGCAGAGCTTGAAGCGCGAGAAGTCGGAGTGGTGGAGAGTGGTGGGGGTTGACAGCCCACCCCATGCTGTGGAATATGCGTAGCTGAGGCAACAGGGGGTTTGTTCAGAGAAGCAAGGAAAGGGTAACGCAGAGCTTGAAGCGCGAGAAGTCGGAGTGGTGGAGAGTGGTGGGGGTTGACAGCCCACCCCATGCTGTGGAATATGCGTAGCTGAGGCAACAGGGGGTTTGTTCAGAGAAGCAAGGAAAGGGTAACGCAGAGCTTGAAGCGCGAGAAGTCGGAGTGGTGGAGAGTGGTGGGGGTTGACAGCCCACCCCATGCTGTGGAATATGCGTAGCTGAGGCAACAGGGGGTTTGTTCAGAGAAGCAAGGAAAGGGTAACGCAGAGCTTGAAGCGCGAGAAGTCGGAGTGGTGGAGAGTGGTGGGGGTTGACAGCCCACCCCATGCTGTGGAATATGCGTAGCTGAGGCAACAGGGGGTTTGTTCAGAGAAGCAAGGAAAGGGTAACGCAGAGCTTGAAGCGCGAGAAGTCGGAGTGGTGGAGAGTGGTGGGGGTTGACAGCCCACCCCATGCTGTGGAATATGCGTAGCTGAGGCAACAGGGGGTTTGTTCAGAGAAGCAAGGAAAGGGTAACGCAGAGCTTGAAGCGCGAGAAGTCGGAGTGGTGGAGAGTGGTGGGGGTTGACAGCCCACCCCATGCTGTGGAATATGCGTAGCTGAGGCAACAGGGGGTTTGTTCAGAGAAGCAAGGAAAGGGTAACGCAGAGCTTGAAGCGCGAGAAGTCGGAGTGGTGGAGAGTGGTGGGGGTTGACAGCCCACCCCATGCTGTGGAATATGCGTAGCTGAGGCAACAGGGGGTTTGTTCAGAGAAGCAAGGAAAGGGTAACGCAGAGCTTGAAGCGCGAGAAGTCGGAGTGGTGGAGAGTGGTGGGGGTTGACAGCCCACCCCATGCTGTGGAATATGCGTAGCTGAGGCAACAGGGGGTTTGTTCAGAGAAGCAAGGAAAGGGTAACGCAGAGCTTGAAGCGCGAGAAGTCGGAGTGGTGGAGAGTGGTGGGGGTTGACAGCCCACCCCATGCTGTGGAATATGCGTAGCTGAGGCAACAGGGGGTTTGTTCAGAGAAGCAAGGAAAGGGTAACGCAGAGCTTGAAGCGCGAGAAGTCGGAGTGGTGGAGAGTGGTGGGGGTTGACAGCCCACCCCATGCTGTGGAATATGCGTAGCTGAGGCAACAGGGGGTTTGTTCAGAGAAGCAAGGAAAGGGTAACGCAGAGCTTGAAGCGCGAGAAGTCGGAGTGGTGGAGAGTGGTGGGGGTTGACAGCCCACCCCATGCTGTGGAATATGCGTAGCTGAGGCAACAGGGGGTTTGTTCAGAGCAAGGAAAGGGTAACGCAGAGCTTGAAGCGCGAGAAGTCGGAGTGGTGGAGAGTGGTGGGGGTTGACAGCCCACCCCATGCTGTGGAATATGCGTAGCTGAGGCAACAGGGGGTTTGTTCAGAGAAGCAAGGAAAGGGTAACGCAGAGCTTGAAGCGCGAGAAGTCGGAGTGGTGGAGAGTGGTGGGGGTTGACAGCCCACCCCATGCTGTGGAATATGCGTAGCTGAGGCAACAGGGGGTTTGTTCAGAGAAGCAAGGAAAGGGTAACGCAGAGCTTGAAGCGCGAGAAGTCGGAGTGGTGGAGAGTGGTGGGGGTTGACAGCCCACCCCATGCTGTGGAATATGCGTAGCTGAGGCAACAGGGGGTTTGTTCAGAGAAGCAAGGAAAGGGTAACGCAGAGCTTGAAGCGCGAGAAGTCGGAGTGGTGGAGAGTGGTGGGGGTTGACAGCCCACCCCATGCTGTGGAATATGCGTAGCTGAGGCAACAGGGGGTTTGTTCAGAGAAGCAAGGAAAGGGTAACGCAGAGCTTGAAGCGCGAGAAGTCGGAGTGGTGGAGAGTGGTGGGGGTTGACAGCCCACCCCATGCTGTGGAATATGCGTAGCTGAGGCAACAGGGGGTTTGTTCAGAGAAGCAAGGAAAGGGTAACGCAGAGCTTGAAGCGCGAGAAGTCGGAGTGGTGGAGAGTGGTGGGGGTTGACAGCCCACCCCATGCTGTGGAATATGCGTAGCTGAGGCAACAGGGGGTTTGTTCAGAGAAGCAAGGAAAGGGTAACGCAGCGCTTGAAGCGCGAGAAGTCGGAGTGGTGGAGAGTGGTGGGGGTTGACAGCCCACCCCATGCTGTGGAATATGCGTAGCTGAGGCAACAGGGGGTTTGTTCAGAGAAGCAAGGAAAGGGTAACGCAGAGCTTGAAGCGCGAGAAGTCGGAGTGGTGGAGAGTGGTGGGGGTTGACAGCCCACCCCATGCTGTGGAATATGCGTAGCTGAGGCAACAGGGGGTTTGTTCAGAGAAGCAAGGAAAGGGTAACGCAGAGCTTGAAGCGCGAGAAGTCGGAGTGGTGGAGAGTGGTGGGGGTTGACAGCCCACCCCATGCTGTGGAATATGCGTAGCTGAGGCAACAGGGGGTTTGTTCAGAGAAGCAAGGAAAGGGTAACGCAGAGCTTGAAGCGCGAGAAGTCGGAGTGGTGGAGAGTGGTGGGGGTTGACAGCCCACCCCATGCTGTGGAATATGCGTAGCTGAGGCAACAGGGGGTTTGTTCAGAGAAGCAAGGAAAGGGTAACGCAGAGCTTGAAGCGCGAGAAGTCGGAGTGGTGGAGAGTGGTGGGGGTTGACAGCCCACCCCATGCTGTGGAATATGCGTAGCTGAGGCAACAGGGGGTTTGTTCAGAGAAGCAAGG